ATATCGGTAATGGGTTTAGAAGATAATGAACCATCAAAGAGACAAAGATTTACAGGAGAGATTTTGGTCGTATGAATAGAATTTTGAGAAACATAACGAGTATCGATGAAAGAGTCAGTAGAACCAGAATCAACAAGAGTAGGAAATTTAAGAAGAGCAGAGATAGGTTCGGCCGGTGCGGCCGAATTGGATAACAGAAATTCAGTAGTTAATGATATTACAAGAGATCGTTCAATATAGGAAAGAGCGGACGCATTGAGATATAACTCCCCAGGTGAGGTATGAACCTGATCAATGCAGCTCCCGTTTCGCACCGGGGAACAAGAGCTGCGGACTAGTTTTCCGATTCCTCTTCAACAACTTCAATAGTTGCTTCGGGGGTTTCTTCAACTTCGGCAGCACGGCCCTTTGACTCTCAGGCCTTTCGCTTATTGCAGTCAGCAATCTGATGCTTACCACCGCAGAAGAGACAAAGATTGTTCTTCATCCTTCTTTCCCTTTTGGAGGGAAGAACTTTCCCATCTGCACCGAGATGGTTGAATGCGGGGCGCTGACCGCCGGATTGGCCGGAATTCGAAGAGTTCTGGGGCTTACCATTGTTCGGTTTACCTCCAGAGAAAGGTTTAGGTTTCGGCATGAACAGCACCAAAGAACCAGATGGCTGAGAGTTGTTTTGCTGGTTAGTAGGACCAGCTTTGAAGTCCGAGGAACCCTTCTTCAGGTTCCGAGCAATAAAAGGTTTACCAGCCTCACGTTTCTTGGTTTTTTCGCGCTTCTAATAGCGGTTGTCAATACAAAGAACCTCTTGACGGTAATCCGCGAGCGTCGCTGGCTCGGGCAAATGCGCCATTTCGTCCTTGATACGTTCAGCTAAACCTCATCCATAAGTCCATTTCAGGGCAGCAGAATCCCAGTTGGTGCGAGCAGCCAGGATGTCGAATTGGATGTTGTATTTCCGGATGTTTTTGGTTTTCTTCATTTTCAGGTTCCCGAGAGAATCTTTGGTCTCGCCTTGGGCATCGTAAATGCCGAAATTATCCTGCAGCTCTTTTACCAGGGCTTTGAAGGAGGACATCCAGGCCGGCAGCGAGTCAAGATCTGGATCGGGGATATCAGGAACAAACCATTCTTTGGCTGAGCCACTGAGGTAGGATAGGATGTGGTTTACCTTCTGCTGGTCGGTGAAATACTTTGGATGGTCATTGAAGACCAGGGCGAGATTGAAGAAGAATGTCTTGAGCTTTCGGGGGTCCGAACCATCGAATACCTCCGGCTCCTTGACCTTGCTCTTAGATTCAGAGCTGTCAGAGGGTCGGCCGAGAGCGGCTAAAATGGTACCAAGGGTTTCAATGGAACCCTTGAAGCCAGAGAGGAGTTCCAACATAGCACATTGCTTGTTGGGGATGTCAGGAGAGATTGGGGTATGGGGACCACCGGGACCACCGGGACCACCAGGCTCACCACGTGGTAAACCACCAGAGTCGTCGTCCAGATCGTCATTGTCAGGATTATTGTTATCAGCACCCAGATCATCAGGGTCCACAGGAGGGTCTTGATCGTCGTGATCACCAGCATCCAGATCAAAGTGAGGAGGCGGGTCATGAGGAGATTGTGAAGTAGCACAACGTTCACGTTGCTTTTGTCAAGCCCATGCCTTGGTGCCTCATTCCACCGCTCGGTATTCCGAGATCTACTGTTTATTGTAATCTCATCTTTATTGTTCTTTCTCACTACACATACCCTTTCATTCTAGTCTCTCCTTATTGTCTTTTACTCTACCCTTCAGGTACTACTCGTATAGCTTTTAGTAGTTAGTCTGGCGCTCCACACCGGTGCGCCGATCCATAGGTATAAATACTGCCTATACGCTACTGTAGTTCCTCAGTTTAATTATCAACTTAGATTCCCTTTCTAACTTGGTTCTCCTCTTAGTCTTCAGGCTCATTGCCTAGAAGTACTCTCTACTCTAACCTTAGGACTTATAAGTTCTTTGGTTTGCTCCTCGTCATCAGCGATACCGCTGCTCCAACTTGGCTGCTCCTGGCTCCTCTCTTCTATACTCTTGATTTCCAGGGACTAGCGGTGTAATGGCAGTGTTGTTAATAACTTTACCACTGTCCCATTTGACCTTCCGCCCTTAGATACCTTGTGGCCTCTGGCACAGTTACATGGTGTACATGATTTTAACAGCTTTCCAGTACAGCGAGCTATGGCTTGGAGAATTGGAGATTCAATTCGAGTAATAGACTGGCCCCGAGCCAGAGCGACCACGGGGGGTTGTCCACAGCAAGGGGTTAAGACTTGAACAGGTTGTCCATCACTGGTATACAAGGTACTGTACTCAAATTGTTGATCTTCTTCCATAGCTTCAGGAAGAGTTGACGTAGTAGGAACTGTAGCTGGACCGAAACCGCAATTATGGCGACATGGTTGACCAATAGCAAAAATGGATTCAGAGAAAGGGGCAAATGATTGGGCTGTAGTGAAGAAAGTGTTTTCTTCGGAGTTAGCTCTAGATTGAGCTCGAGTTCTCGGAGGCATAAAAAATGATATGTCAGTACAACGTTAACGGATTGAGTTTAATTATACTGTTAAGATTGTGTACACCGTGTAACCGTGCCAGAGGCCACAAGGTGTCTAAGGGCGGAGGGTTAAATGGGACAGTAGTGAAGTTATTAACAACACCGCTGTTACGCCGCTAGTCCCCAGAGATTGAGAGTAGAGAAGGAAAGAGCCAGGAGCAGCCAAGTCGGAGCGGCGGTATCACCGGTGACGAGGAGCGAACCAAAGAACTTCTAAGTCCTAATGTTAGAAGACTAGAGATTGACAAGAGTACAGGGAAGTCTCAAGTCGAGGACGTGAAGAGAATAACCTCAGTTGGAAAGGGAATCTAAGTTGATAATTAAACTGAGGAACTACAATATCGTACAGGCAGTATTTATATCTACGGATTGGCACATCAGTGTGGAGCGCTAAACTAACTACTAGGAGCTATACGAGTAGTACCTGCAGGGTAGAGAAAAAGACAATAAGGAGAGACTAGAATGAAAGGGTATGTGTAGCGAGAAAGAACAATAAAGATGAGATTACAATAAACAGTAGATCTCGGAATACTGAGCGGCAGAATGGGGCACCAAGGCATGGGCTTGACACAGCCCTATAGCTTCACAATACAGGGTTTTGCATAATTTCATAAACAACTGAGTTTTTTTCTTTTTGCAGTCCAAATATATCCTATCTTATCAGCCACATGAAAAAATTTGTAGCTGAGATTATTTTGGAACAATCAAATTAATATAAGAATATTCAAAATAATTGCATTTCCTGCCATGTTGTTAAGATCATGTACACTGTGAGGCCATGCCAGAGGCCACAAGGTGTCTAAGGGTGGAGGGTCAAATGGGACAGTAGTGAAGTTATTAACAACACTGCTGTTGCACCGGTAGTCCCCGGAGATCAAGAGTAGAGAAGCAGGCCACTAGGAGCAGCCAAGTCGGAGTGGCGGTAACACCGACAACAAGGAGTAAACCAAAGAATGTCTAAGTCCTGAGGTTAGAGTAAGGAGGTCTTCAAGGCAATGAGCCTGAAGACTTAGAAGGCAAGAGAAGAAGATCTGAGTTGATCTAGGATGATGAGGATAATTCAAGTTGATAATTAAACTGAGGAACTACAGTATAGTACAGGCAGTATTTATACCTACGGATCAGCACATCAGAGCGGAGCGCCAGACTAACTACTAGGAGCTATATGTGTAGTGCCTGCAGGGTAGAGAATAAGACAATAAGGGAGAGGCTAGGTAGAAGGGGAATGTGTAGCAAGAAAGAACAATAAGGAAGAGATTACAATAAACAGTGGATCCCGGAATACTGAGTGGCAGAGCGGGGCACCAAGGCATGGACTTGACACATGTTCATGATTGTTGCATGGAGAAATTTTTGAAAAGTCTCAGCAAACTCTGATAGAGAATTTTTGGAGAGTTTTGTACCTAATCTCTTCATATTCACTACAACATTAGGGTTTCATCCCCGCAGTGATATCCCTACATTTCAGTATACCACCAATAGATACATTATTTGAGGAGGCATGGGGTTGAGAAGCAATCACATTACATTTAGATATTCTGAATTGGCAACGGATATATTTGGACCGCAAAAAGAAAACAACTCAATTGTTCACGAAATTATGCAAAACCCTGTAATCGCCACATGAAAAGTTTTAAAATTTGTGCTCGGGATTTTTGATGAATTTTGGAAAAAAAAAATCCTTGCATTTTCGCTACATTTTCACCGAGGACATTGGCTCATTCCCAGTGCCCACACTGTAAGACAATTCCATTCAATTGTTTAATATGTAAATCACTGTCAATGTGACCACTGTATAAAGGAGCCTGTATATGGACTGATAACAAGTTTTTACACTGATAAGTTCAACATCTGCAAAACATGGATATTCGGCTAAGGGCTGAGAGCAGATCCCAGCAGATCCCAGTACCGAAAGCACTGAGAGCAGGCTGCTCTGAGTGCTTTCAGGGCTGGGAAATGCTTTCAACTGCTTTTGGACCCTTAGCCAAATATCCAGGTTTTGCAGATGAATCCTGTTCAATCGCATGCATTTCTATCCTGCCTCTGCAAATCCTTAGAGCATATATGGTTCAGTATGGTCTATACCTACCTTCTATCAAATCAGATTTGAGAAAAATGCTTTGCTTGCCCATTCCGAGGTGCAACTAGATTTGACTGTATAAAGGAGGTGGGAATGACTCTATCCAGACTCTATCTACTTAAACCGCCCGCCAGATAGCGGAGGAAAGCTTAAGTAAGCTAATGTCATAAGTCTGCGGGTCTCCGTATATAATCCTTCTACGTAGGCCATACATGATACCCCAGCTCTTAACTCGCTTCGGTCGTCCTACAGGGCATGTATCTTCATTATATCTATGTCGCTCTTTAATCGCTGAAATCGCAAGCAGACGCTCCTTTTTCCAACACGGCGAACGATATATGTCTTCCTCAATCCTTTCACCTGCAACTTTAAATGATTTCGGAAAAGAGCATGTCACGAAAGGGCTTGCAAGGATCAGTGATGGGATTATGGTCAAAGGGAAAGGCTCTTATGTAGAGTACCTGGATGGAAAGAAAATGCTGGATTTCACCTGTGGAATCGGTGTAACAAATCTGGGTATGTCCTGAAAATATTCTTACCGTACAGTATAGCGTATTTTAACTTGTGTTCTAGGTCACTCTCATCCAAAAGTAAGCAGGGCCGCTGCAGATCAATGTATGAACATTGTACACGCCCAGGTATTTCATTCTTCGTTGATTGTATTTCGCGATCTGCCTATTTAAAATACACCCTTTCTCAGTGTAGCATTGCATTCCACGAGCCGTACCTCCGCCTCATCGAAAGACTTCTTCCAGTGATGCCTCATCCCTCCTTGGACTCGTTCTTTTTCTGGAACTCGGGGTCGGAAGCGGTAGAAGGCGCAATCAAAATGGCTAGGGCTTTGACCGGACGACAGAACATTGTTACCATGCAGGGTAAGGTCTCAATGACATATCCTGATATGCCTCTGCTGAAAGAATCACTGTTAGGTGCATACCACGGTCGTACTTTCGGTGCTATGGCCGTCACTAAAAGCAAGACTGTTTATTCTGATAGTGTAGCTCCTCTGATGGCACGTTCCTTAATCTCTCTATGCAGCTGATATGTTGATTTTACACTTAGCCTGGGGTTTTCTCGATGCCGTATCCGTTCTGGCACCAGCATCGTCTTCCACCATCCACTCCACCCTCAGTCTTGACGGAACAATGTCTATACCAACTTCACCTTCTTCTCTCACAACAGACTTCACCAAAGGATACAGCGGCAATCATCATCGAGCCTGTTCTCGGTGAGGGTGGATATGTTCCCGCTCCAAAGGAATTTTTAGCGGGCTTGCGAGCAGTTTGTGACCAACATGGAATTTTGTTGATCGTGGACGAGGTTCAATCCGGCTTCGGAAGGACTGGTAAATGGTTTTTCATCGAGGAGAGCGAGGTCAAACCTGACATTCTACTGATGGCAAAGGTAAGTTTGTAATTTTCATGAGTCTAAAACTTACATTGGGTAGGGCTTAGCAAATGGATTTCCTCTGAGTGGTATAGTCAGTCGTAAAGAGTTGACTGACAAACTCGCGCCTGGTTCAATGGTAAATTCACAAAGCGTTTTAATCGTAGACGGCCATTAACTTCACGCTCGTGCCTTTAGGGAGGTACCTACGCCGGAAATGCTGTATCTTGCGCGGCTGCTTGTGCAGTCGCTGATGCCTTCCATGAAGAAAATATCATGGCCAACGTTCAAGCTCGGTTCGTCAGTTTCAGAATATTACATGCAAATCAGTCAACTTTGTCCTTTCATTTGTAGCTCTCAAGAGCTCTTTGCCTCCCTCAACGCGCTCAGAGACGACCAAACACTAGCTCAGCATATCCTTGATGTTCGAGGTCGCGGTCTTATGGTCGCTATGGAATTTGCTTCCTCAGAAGGTCCTGGTGCTGCTTTTGACCCTGCGACTCCGAAGGGTCTTACGGTCAAGAAAGGTATCGCAAGTCGAGTAACAAAGAAATGTATCGAAAAGGGTATGCTTCTATTGACAACGAGCGTGTATGAGGTGGTGAGGTTCATTCCACCGCTGAATATCTCACGGGAGGATATGAAGAAGGGATGTGATATTTTTGCGGAAAGTCTAAGGGAAGTTGTGAGGGAAGGTTAAGGTTAAGGAAGGAATTAAAAGGTGTACGTATGTAGTAGAATACTTTCAAACTACTGAAATCACGAAGTAGGTCAGTACATACTGAGGGGATTGACTGGTCAAGAAGAGTTTACACCTGAGTAGACAGTTTAAGCACTACTTACAATACATGGATAGGTCTTAGAGGTCAAGTATCTATACGTAGAGCGATATGAGTGAAATCCTCAGTGAAGAACCAGATAGGTTGTAACAGCTGATAGATTACCTATACGTAGAGTGATATGAGTGAAATCTATCTAACGAGTGAGTATCGATAACTATAGGTAATAGACGGAGAAAAACTCACCCTCAGTGAAGAACCAGATAGGTTGTAACAGCTGAGGGTGATGAACGTGCGAAAAGTCCAATAAGTAAGTGAAGTCACGTGGAACCGGAATGAATCGGCATCAAAAGGGAAGTTAACTCCCAACAATAGGTATATACTCCGTTGGCGGGATATTGATAATCCTACACTAGTGTTTATCGAGTACGTCCTTATTCAAACTTCAGTCTCTCAGTGAGGAAGCCTTTCAAAAACACTCAACCATACAAAGACTGGCTTGTAACTTACTGCAAGCCACTGCAAGAGTAGCAATAAGTGAATACGGTCCACTCGTGACTTTCGTCTTTTGATAAACATCCTTCCCGCAGAGTATCTGATGCTCCGGTACTATGTAGGGGCAGGGCACAACCTCGCAGAACTGCGGCACAAGATAAGCCATTCGATAAAATCGGAGAAGTGGACCACAAATTATGGGAGGAGTCAGTACTTCCATGGAATAAATGATATCAGTATAATATACATGATGCACAATGAGTTGTATGATTAATTCTGAGAATTGACTACTTTAGGGTCTGGAAGAAAAGAGATGTTGATAATACGCACTTCTGGTATTCTGAAAATAGTGATTTCCTGCTGTTTGAAGTACCGTCGATTTTCTTCGTCAATGAGAACCAGGTTGAGGTAGTATCGTGTGCTGAACTTCTTATTCACGTCGCGGAAGGTTGGTGTCAATTCAAACCCACCAAGGAACAAGCGGATGGGGATAGTTTCCCCTGAGTGAGGTACAAGTAATGTGAGTAATAGTGACTAGGGAAATAACGCGTCGTACCTCTTACAGGAGCACCGTCCATAATTTCGAACTTGGTTATTGTTTCACTTTCGTTGTACTGATTTGGAGGAGCGCCGGTGGTTTCTCTTCGAATAATGGACAATTCCATATGCTTGATTTTTATTCGCACAAGTAGGAAGAAGATCTTGCCTACGATGACGTCTTTCAAGTGGTACCTGTAAGAAAAGAAAGATATGAGCAGGGGAAAACACTGAGTTTAGGCATTGTACCGACTTGGATTTGTTGTATTCAAACTCGATATGCAAGCAATCTTCGATGCCGACCTCCATTTTGATTGAGTTGTTGCTGTCTGGCGGCATTCTAAATGAGTGTACCCAGATATCTCTCTCCTTCACCACGTCTGCCATCCGCCGTGATATGGTTACGCGTATAAAATATCTGATAAGGTAAGTGAAAGCTTGGTGGGCTTTATATACCATAGGCACATACCTTAACTTGACATTGATACCCTGATAACTCTCGAACTGCTTCTCTACGTTCTTAAAACCAAATTCATACGTCTGCGCTTGACGCATTTCGCCTGGAGCTGCAAGCTCTTGAGAGAGTGACAGAAATTCGTGATGATGACCTCGGTCATAAAACAACTCTATTCGTTTCCTGTAGAATCGAGCATGTTGGGAACATATTTTGAAGCTCACCTATGCTTCCAACAAATTCAACCTTGATACCATCATGTTGAACCTTCTTGCCGTCCCGTGTACGGATGGATATCTGAGAGTTGTTCTTGCATGTAATCATTGCTCAAAGATGCTGGCTTACCTGACCGCTCACAGTGTCCCCGTCATAATATACCGGACATGAAATCATCTTGTCCTTTTCGCCTTTGGTCTCTGCCAGCTTGCGTACATCCTCTCCTTCCAGTTTCACATCAATGTCTATCGGCGATGAGAAGAAATAGCCCGCCATGGTGTCTTGGATAGAGATTGGAGAAGAGTGACAAGAGAAGCACGTGTCCGCCGTCCGGCACGATTCTCAAGTTCCAATGGCAACACTTTCTCTCCTGATTTTGCCCCCGTTTTGCCTACTACAGCGCAGTCCAATAATATCAAAGCACATTCCTCTTTCTCTCGAGACTCAGTACATTATAATTCATGCAATCCCGAATCTTCGAAGTTTTTTTCCCTCTCCGTCACCGATAAGCCTTAGGTCTTCTGACCGCAAAGCAAATCAATTCCTGCACTCCCAAGGGTTTACACGAAAAACAAGAAGTTCTCTTTCCTACCACTACTATGGTGTACACGACCTCATCCTTATTTCTGAAGTCTCTTTCCCTCGCTGGCATCACGCATGCTTTCGTGAACTGGGGCTCCGATCATCCAGCAATGTTGGAAGAACTTCAGCGTCAACGATTTGAAGGCGAGCATCAAGGGGCAACTTCGCCCTGTGTGATAACGTGCCCAAACGAAATGGTAGCTCTTAGTGCTGCACAAGGATACGCTCAGGTCACTGGCAGACCAGCTGCGGTCATTATACATGTAGATGTAGGGACGCAGGTTCGGATGCTCTTCAACGTAGATTATATGCTCACCATTCATCGCTATTGGTATAGGCTCTTGCTGGGGCAATTCATAATGTCAATCGAGGCAGAGTTCCAGTCCTCATCTATGCAGGTGCATCGCCCTTTACAAGTCGTAATGAGATGAAGGGTAGTCGCAATGAATGGATAATGTGGCTTCAAGGTATTTCAAAAGCTAGAGAGCTGCGACTCGTTTGAACATCCAATGATGTACAGACATACCTGACCAAACCGCAATTGTTCGCCAGTACATGAGATACACTGCTCAAATTAACTCCGGAAGGAATGTTGTTCAAATCGTTAAACGCGCCCTACAGATGTAAAGGCAGTCATCATTGTTCTTCGTTGCATCGACTTATGCTTTTGTAGTGCCACTTCTGAACCCAAAGGCCCAGTCTATCTTTGGGCACGTAGAGAGGTTATGGAAGAGGAACACCCGTTCGCACTGTATAATTCATTATCAATGAAACCCCACATATCTGTCTCTCCAGCAGCTCTTTCTCCAGTTGATACGATGGCGATCAGTACCGCCCTACTCACGGCCCTCCATCCATTGATCATAACTTCCCATATTGGACGTAATCAAGATGCAGTCTCTTCCGTGCTCACGCTCTCCACTCTGCTCGCAGTTCCTGTTTTTTGCGTTTGTCCCTCCACCGTCAACATTCCTTTTTCGCATCCGTTCCTATTTGGAATCACCTATCTTTCTCCGGGTCCGACCACAGACTCATTTGAAGAGCATCTTCAAATTGCTGACACTGTCCTAGTGCTTGATTCAGACATCCCCTGGATCCCCTCCAAATGTGGGCCAAGTGAAGATGGTTCCCGAGTCTTCATCATTGACAGTGGAGATCCACTTAAAACGAACGTGGCGATGGGGACTTGGGACGCGGCTTTACATCGAGGAGTAGAGTTGATATGCTGTGCCGATACAGAAACGGCTGTTGGACAGTTAGTTGATGTTACGAAGGAGCACATACGAGGCAGTACAACGAAGCTTGAGACGGTTATACTTGAAATCCGGGATCGAATCAAACAGCGAGCGCAACGAATCAAGCAGGTTCATGACAAATGGATTGCTCGTCTAGATGGGGACGAATCCATACCTGATGTCGCAAAAGAAGGGCCCTCAAATCTCATCACAGTACCCCATATCATGCGAGCCCTACGGGAAGTTGTGGCTCCCATTTCATCGAAATCCTTAATCATCAATGAAGCCATATCTAACTACGGCGTCGTCTGGGAACACGCTCGAGCCGAGTTTCCTGGAAGTCTTTTGACTTCTGGAGGTTCGTCCTTGGGTTACGCACTTGGTGCCTGTGTAGGTGCAGTTTTAGGGAGTTCGTCTTCTAGTGGAACCGGAAGCGATACAATGGACTATGATTTGGTGACTGCGGTGGTGGGCGATGGGACGTTCATGTTTGGTGTTCCGAGCTCTGCCTTTTGGATTGCTCGCCGATATAATACGGTTAGTCTATGTCATTACTTGTTTATGCGGTTCCTTATGCTGAAATCATATCATAGCCTTTTTTGACCATTGTACTCAATAACGGTGGTTGGAAAGTGAGTTATTGCTGGTAAATGTTTTCGAAGCACCGCTAAGAAATGCTGTACATCAGTCCCCCAAGTTATCAATGCTAGCGGTTCATCCTCAAGGTCATGGGTCGAAGGCACGTTCAGGAGAGCAACTCTCTGTTGGTTTCTCATTTGAATCCCGAACTCAAATCTCGGCTGCGCAATCCGATAGGATTTCTCCGAGCTACTCTCAAATTGCCGTCGCCGCCACTGACGGTTGGGCCTGGGGCAGAAGTGTATCTTTATCCTCCGATAACGCGACAGAACCGCCGGACTTGGTTTGGAAAACTCTCAAAGGAGTGCTCGCAGAAGCGGTTCGAATAGTGATCGAAGAAAAACGGTGTGCTGTAATTGATTGCCTCCTAGAGGCTCTGTAAACTAATGACAAGTTCAATCGCCTTACTCCACATGTTCATTTCTTGAAGCATTTTACCAGTGCTAATCGTAGCAGTTCTTAGTCATTCCAAACATTCTGATTGCATGTTCCAAGACATTATCTCGCCTCGTCTAAGGTATGACGGTGAAGAATAGCCTTCACTCGTACCAAGTGCAGTAGGGGTGGGTATAAAGAACACTGTGCTCAACTGTCCGATGTCGCTGAGGATTACAGGGTTCAAAAGGACCAACAACATCTGATTCGAGCACTCATCCACCATGAAAGTGAATCCCACATACGAAACCGCTTCCTTCAAGTCTATAATGAAGAAACTCATTGACACTCCAGAAGCCTTCATCCCAGATGACCTCCGGGCTGCTTTCCACTACCTATTGACACCAGATTTACTTCCGCCAGAGCAGATCGGAGCATTATTGATTGCGCTCCATCTCCGCCATGTCGAAAGGAAGTCAGAGCTCTTGACAGCAGCTGCATGCCTGCTGCGTGAACGGGCTCTCACAGCCGTAGTTGAAGGTGGTAAGGAAGATTTTGTGGTGGATATAGTTGGCACCGGTGGAGACGGGTACAATTTGTTCAATGTTAGCACAGCTGCGGGAATAGTAGCGGCGGGTGCTGGTGCGCGAGTAATCAAGGTTAGATGTGAATTCACTTAGCTACAATGTACCGACATTCTTATCGGGAAATAGCATGGAAATAAGGCTTCCACGTCTTCCTCTGGTTCTGCGGATCTTTTGGAAGCATTAGGCTGCAATTTTATTCGGCCCGGGGGTGCTTGCGATACCCAAGCAGGCCAGATAATCCGTCGTATGCCATTCTCATTCATTCTTGCGCCGCAATACCACCCAACACTGGCAACGATCGCGCCCTATCGCAAGGCCCTTCCTTTCCGAACAATATTCAACGTCCTCGGACCGCTGATTAGCCCTGCGCAGCCGAAGGGTATGGTCCTTGGAGTTCCTCAGCCCGAACTTGGTTTATCATTTGCAAAAACACTCAAGGACAGTGGAGTGATACGTGCACTGGTCGTGTGCGGACAAGAGGGGATTGATGAAATTAGTTGTGCTGGGCCGACCTGGGTATGGGAACTACGGGATGGAAGAATATCTGAAAGTGTCCTGTGTCCAGAGACATTCGGATTCAATCCCTATCCCCTCCAAGCAGTGAGAGGTGGTGGCCCAGATACTAACGCAGAAACTCTGGAAATTTTGCTTCGCTCGGGGGAGAACATTCCTCTGTCAAAGAGGCCGCTCCTGGATTTTGTGCTAATGAATGCATCTGCATTATTGGTAGTGTCTGGGTTGGCTGACACATACATCGATGGGGTCAAGATTGCGTACGAAGCCGTCATTTCTGGAAAAGCATGGTGCGCATTAGAAACTTTTCGGGATAGCCTCAAGGTTCAGGCCCAAGCCCTGGAGACCCGAGGCGACTTAGAGCAGCGGCGCAGACACTGACTTCGCGACCTTATATGGAAGTTAGTCACATTGAATTGTATTGATTCCCTGTGACTACCATGGGAAATCTCATGTGATGTCGTAACACTTTGTCACCCTTCTTCTCGTCAACTTTCTGTTTTTATTTCATCTTTCCTTTTGTTTGCTCTATGTAGCGATGTCTTTTCTCTACCTTGATAACGATATTTATTTACTATTTCAGCAAAAAATTACACATAGTAGTACAGTGGCATACAATAGCATACAATCGCATGTACTAGAAATAATTTGAATATCTCAAGGATAACATCTAGAAGTCCTTAATTTTCTTTCCATCCACATTTCTTTCTTTTGTTTTTTGTTCTCTGATACAATCATCGCAGAATTTTTGTATTTATAGACGGACCCATCTTCATATGTTGTCACAGTTTGGAAGTGTACCTATTTAACCAATTTCATCCTATAGTGGTTGAGCGTTGCTTTTTGCCGTTGCGGTATCAACTTAGCGTTATAGATTGAAATCACAGTTAGTCATCGCCGCTGTTCTGCTTTTTTAAGACTCTCCAGTGGCGTTACACGGTGCTGTATGCCCAATGCCCAGATACACAAGTCAGGCTGATTTCGCAGTATCTTGTCACTCTTACCTTGCAACCCTGTTATACTGGTAACGTTCTGGCAAATGTATCGTGGCGCTTCGTTGGCAGCGGGTGTGACATTGAACAATTCAAAGCTGAGATCGGTGCAGTTTACAGCGGGGCTGCAGACGAACTCAAGGACTAGAAAAAGATCATCATAATGTCAAAGGTTATAAGCAACGAGAATAAACGAACTGGTGTTGCCGGTGGCATTCCCCGTCCAATCATTGAAGTGTAACCCGCTAAACATCAATGTCGAAGGCGTTTCAGAGCTGTTGATACGGTTAGTATGTACAAGGCGTGTATATGATAAGAAGTTTGACCCACGCGCTACCACCGTTTGTTTGGTAAACGTGAACTGGAATATCTACCTGATCCACATTCACATTTTGGATAGTAACGTTGCGGACGTGCCCACTATACGCAAGGTTTATGGAATGCTTGGGGGCGATGATACAAACACCTGACTTACGTTCCTCCTCCTCCTCCTGTGGGAGGAGTACCGTTTACTTCCCCAGTCCACGACTTGAAATAGACCTATATAAACAGGGGAACACTTTTAAAGAGTAGAACGCGTGATTTGCCACTGTACCTACCCCAGTTCCCATGTTCGGTTGCACATCGGAAGGGAGACGGACCATCTAAGGTGGTGATATGAGAACATGGAAAATAGCGTCGGATTCGTGGATCAGTCATACTTGAAGGTCTTCCATGTAGACATTTTCGATGACATCCCTCTGTAGACTCGCAGTGAGCTTCAAGTTGACATGGAGGAAAATAGACAGATAGCAACTCACGAGATTAACATATTGGCCCAGAGAGCCGAATGCAATCCCATTCCCTCCATTACAAGTGACATTACGGACAGTTAAGTTTGTCGTATTCTGTCCGGAGATGCGTTATACTTTGCATAAAACAAGTCTAGGAAGACTTACCCCTTTGATTCTGTTCCAACCACGTATTCGGGCGTTAGTGAAATGCCCCTCAAATGAACAGTGATACGGACGCAAGACAATCATCCCCACAGGTGATATCCCAATTCATGAGTGTTACGTTGTTGCTTCTGTATGTGTCAAGGCCATCGGTATTGGGTACAAGACTAGCATATCACCCACAACTACGATTCAACATGAGGTTTGTGCAGAGAACATGAAACTCACTTGGTGCCCGCAAATTCTGGATTAGTATTGGTAGCATTACACAACATCCCATCGTACACAACATCGTCAGATTCCGCAATACAATTGCACCAGAATGGTTGTGCATCAATACGGAAATCTCGTACCACCCCTCTCGTAGCATTAAACAGCGTCAAAGATATCGGACGACCATCACCGTCTTCTTTGGTGCGATTGGAGAAAAAGTCCCACCAAATTTGACCGTTGCCTTGGATGCCACCAGTATTATGTGCATCGATTTCGAAGTCGGAACCTGTGACAACAAACCAGGAAGACTGGCTCTGGACATTCCTTTCGGTATTGTGTTGTACTATATCACAACAGGACATACCTGAATGAACACCACTTGGTATGTGTTCGACATATTGAGCCAGTATTCAATGTCTGGAATGAACTGTGAGAAATAGAGGGCTGCATTCAATCTCGTTCCGCAAATTCAAAGAGTATAAAACTTGCATTCAAGTAACCAAACAAATTGACTTTGGCAGAGTTCAGCTCCCAGGTCATCTTTCTGAAGAGTGATGAATACGTGGAAAAGATGCCAAAGTCAGCAAGCTCACCTAGTGATGTTGAAGGAGCCTTCTGTAAATGTGATTGTCCCATTAGTCCCACATTGAGAGATTGCAGCCAAAACCTGAACAAGTGGTATGAGTGTATGTAGATCGGCAAGTTTAATGTGTAGACCTGGTCAGTGTCATCCTGACCGACTCCCAACGGAGTTACAGTGCATTCTTTGTTGCGATCTATCCCCAAGCCAAGAATTACTCGAAAGTACAAAAAGAAACCAACGATTAATGAAGGAACAAAGTTTTTTGGTTTCATAGCGTGGAGAGGAGATAAAAACAACATGTCCACATCGTGGTCCTTTATAGCAGACGGGTCCGGTTATGTCATATCTAAACATTTTCAAGGTCGCTGACCTCGTTGAACTGCATGCAAAACAATCACGAGAGCCATCGAAAAATATGCGACGCGGTCCGGGGCCAGTTATCAGCGTCAGTCATCTGTTCATGTCTTCATGCCGGCAACTTCAAGCTATGAAAAGACCACCGGAGAAACATGAGCTTGACCATGAGCAAAACTGGGCTAGCGAAGAAGAACGCTTTATCTTAAATTCAAATTGAGAGAGGGTCAAAGCTGTCTCTACGAGGTCTCACGTGCGCGCCGTGTTCTACTCTTCTCACGATAATTTTTTCAACTACCATTATTATGATTTAATCGAACTATACATACAGTTTACGAATTTTGACCACGGACAATATGGTGGTGAGTAACCCTTATCAACCGCTCTGACGTCTTCTTGAGTTTTGCACAGAAAATATCCGTCCTACAACATGATCTTTCATCTCATACAGCCACTCGACCTGGAGATCCTACTCCAGTTTCGAGAAATTTAAATCCACTCGTGCATCCTTTCTCCCGCGCCCGTGAACGTACAAGAGCCTTGAATGCTGCAAAAATGGACAGGATGTTTGCCAAACCCTTTGTGGGCGCTCTGGAAGGACATGTCGATGCTGTAGAGGTCCTCGCAAAGCAAGGAGATTCAATATCAACGGTAGCGAGTGGCAGTTGGGACGGAGGTGTGTGCGTGAACTTGCATAGCTTCAAGGAACCCGAAACTGATTCAACTACAACGACTTGTAGGCGTTATAGTACACAATCTCTCCCAAAGGATCCAAATGGCACGGTTACCGCAGGGACATAAAGGGAAAGTAACGGGCCTGAGCTTCGCCGGAGACTCTCGCCTGCTCAGCTGCGGTGTTGACTGCAATGTCAAATTGTGGAAGATTGGATCAGTTCGTAGCTCTTTTTTGAAAGTGAAAAACCTAATTTCAATCTTGCAGGACGAACCTGTGAATGTTTTTCCTGGCAAATATGCTTTCAAGTATGGTGTGCTCTATATTTTTTTGTTTTCATACAAATCTCAAGGCGATCTCTTAGTTCAATAGATCATCAAAGATTCTCGTCCATATTTGCTACGGCTTCGACTCTTGTACAAATATGGGACGAAACCAAGTCAGTTTCTCATATTCGTTACTTCGTATCAGCCAATGCTTTTGACAGGAGTGCTCCCATTTCAAATCTAACTTTTCCAACGTCTACCGAAACCATCTCCTCAGTACGCTTCAATCTCAGCGAATCATCAATCCTTGCCTCTGTCGGCTCTGACCGCACATTTACCCTGTACGATATCCGTACAGGGAAAGCAGAACGTCGAGTAGTCATGCAGATGCGCGCCAATGCTCTTTCGTGGTCACCAACGTTCCCTACCAATATCCTCTTAGCTTCTGAAGACCACAACCTCTACACCTTCGATATTCGACGACTCGATGCGCCCAGTCTGATTTATAAAGGGCATGTGGCCGCAGTGATGAGTTGCGACTGGTCTCCGACAGGGACTGAGTTTGTCTCTGGAGGATGGGATCGTACGGTGCGAATATGGCAAACAGGTCAAGGGCATTCACCGGAGGTGTATCATACGAAGCGAATGCAGAGGTTTGTTTGATATTCATAGCCTATACTCTGGGCTAATCACTGTCTGAAACAGAGTGACCTCCACTCTTTTCACCACTGACGCGCGCTTCGTTCTATCAGGTTCTGACGATGGGAACGTTCGTATATGGAAAGGAAAAGCTTCGGAACGGCTTGGAATTGTCACCGCTAGAGAAAGAGCAGCGGTCGAGTACCGAAGTAGCCTCGTGGACCGATGGAAGATGGACAAAGAAGTTGGAAAGGTTGTGCGGTGAGTGCCATCTATCATCTGCCTGCTGTCGACATGTTTGACTGATCTCTCAATTAGAACGAGGCATCTACCAAAACCTGTGTATACGGCCAACAAACTCAAGAATACTATGCTTGAATCGAAAAGGGTCAAGGAGGAACGCAGGAGGAAACACACGCGTGCGGGGGAAAGCAAGCCCAAGCCAGAACGCAAAAAAGTGGTCCTGGTGGAACAGACTTGATTCGACTTCATTTCTCTATACATTGCGTAGTCGTACAGTACTCAGTATACTTGAGTATCCGATCTGCGCAATCTCATCTGATTGCATGTCCCCTCATGTTCCCAGCACGAATTTCTTCCCATGTCATTTATTGGTTCATTGTACGGGTTTGCAGATTCGATGGGGTTAATATGACGACCAGTGCCTATCTGCTCTTGCTTGATACCTTCCACTTCAAGCTCAAGACTGAGTGCTAGTGCCAAGTATTGATATATCACTCCAATTGCCATCAACCGTATGTATGTATCTCCTGGTCAAAGTTTGGGCCATCTTTTTTTTGGGTGAAGCATTTCATATTTTAGGTCAAACGACATAGTCGTTTTCCTTTACCTGCTAAGGGGGACCAGGGATTCAAACCTAGTAAGTTCTTGCAGTCTGCTGGATAGCATTTGCATATATCACAGGTCCGGTCCTGTCCGATCCGGGGCATTGATATCTTTCGGTGTCACCCCCTGGTCCGGTCAATTGACTGGCACTGGCAGTTCCAAGTCTGATGTAGATGTGGCAACCGCAACCAATGAAATTAAATGGTTACCTCGACTTCTTTCTCACAATTTCGTTTTGCTTCTGCATCTACAGCTTGATTCTTTTTCTTCCCTTTCGTCTTTTCGTTCTCGTTGCAGGTCGTGCGTGGCAGCAAGCCTGCCAGTCCATTCCTTTTACTTCGCCTTCATTTGTTCCACCTTCAACTCGGGCTCAACCATTAAATCACAGCTAGACGGATCATCTTGAAATGCTCTAGTTCATTTAAGCTATCCGACCATACGCAATACTTTATCTATTAGATGGGAACCCTCTGTCTATCTCAGGCCTTGATTCTTCGCTGCGAGTCTTTGACCGAGACTGAGAGTATTGCCTTGTTCATTCCTACTGCTGTGGAGTTCCTGTTTGCCTCGTCTTTGATATTCAGGACGTGGGATTCTGACCGGTGAGTGTCTGTCTTTGGAATGTGAAAATATGATATCTCATACATATCGATCTCGCGGCAGGAGGCACATTTTCCTAACATTTGAAGGCTGGATCTATTTTGCACTGGCTTTGCTTGAGTTGTTGTCTCACATTATCCCCGCTGTGCGGGATGACCTCGCAGTTTTTAAGGTTATCGACATTGTCATTGGTGAGATCCACATAAAGTCCTATCAGTATCTGAATTCTTCCCTCATTGGTCGCCCATATAGGTGCATTATCTTCTATTCCTCTGCTTTTGTATACTATCTTTCTATGTTTTTTTACCTGTACCGAATTTTTGGATGGTATTCCTCAACGACTCCAGATTTTTGGGAAATTCATGCTTATTATCCTCATCCCCGTTGTGATTGTCTTCAACGAAGTGGCTTCTTTCATCGGTATCACCCACCGAAGTGAGTTCTTCATGCATCCTCAATCATCTGCACCTCATCATCTGAGCCCTATATATCAGTCATAGGTACAACAGTTGCAGTCGGCTTCAGTAATCCTCAGAACAAGACGCTTTGGACTATCTTCACCGACTTCGACCTTGGTTTCATTACAGTCTATCAAGCACTTAACTTTTCATTTGCCTTTTTCCGGCTGGCTAAGGCGTTCTTGGAGCAGCAGCGGATAGAGTCTTCGGATACCGATGAGGCTTTGTTGATCAAGGGAACCGGCTGGGTCACTCTCGGAATCAAATTGGGTGCTGTAGAGAGTGCCATTGGATTCGTGCCGCCACAGTTCGGGGTAGTTCTGGCAAGGAGAATTCTGCGTTTCCTTGGGAGGGCTTTGTTGATCATCGGTTTGTTAAAAGGGTGCGTTTTCAATGCGTTGCCAAACTTGATATGTGATGTAGTCGCTTACAAACTCATAGGCTCGATGTATCCGAAGACTTTCAACAAGTCCGCGAAGAAATTATCGCTGGAAAACGCGAACGGTCATTCCGCGGTTCCCGTCTCCGACCTCTAATCTCTGACCCTCGCCTCTCCACCTTCCGTCAACTTTCTCCTGGCGCAATCCAAGCAGCATCCGATGCTTTCCGTGGAAAGGATCCTCCTAGATCATTCTCTTCACCTTCACCCGCTCCCATGGTTCCCGGAGAGCGTGTCACCATCCATTTCAATGCTGCTTCAGGCCAAGCTCCTACTCTTGAAATGCGGTTTTCTGCTTTAGATATACCTAGTCCTACTGAAATTGTTGAAAGCGTCAAGGTTCGTCCGGCCTCGGAGTGGCTTTCGACAGCACCCTCCCGGAGATCTTCATATTACGCCAATTCAACGATGACGCGTCACACACTTAACCTTTCCATGCCAGAGATGCCAAAGCTACCCCAGGCTCCCGGTGGCATTTCTGAATTTAAATACGCATCTCGGTCCAGGCCAGAACAAGAAGCAATTGTCGTTCACAACGTCTTTGCGCACACCAGAGACGTCTCCAATTTCAGAACAAACTCTGGATTCAGAGACTCCGTCAGTTCAATGAGTCATGGCGCTGGAGGGAGTTTGTCGTCTAAATTCCCTGGGATACCACCCAGAGTTACCAAGGCTTCCCAAATGGCTTTGCAGGATTCATTTTACGTTGTTGCGAGATCTGCGTCATCTGAATCAAAGGGCAAGGAAAATCAGGGCGCAGGTTTGTCTATTAGCAACTCTTTTCACCGGAAACCTGTTCCCCGAGCATCCCTTATCCTAGCACCAGCATCTATAGACCCGTTCGTCGACGAAGACACCCAAATTGGTGTTAAACTACCCACCCCGTTAGGTACTACCGAACATGCACACCAAATGAGCATCGCTCTTTCTACTGCTCCCACTACTACGAAAGACTCCCTCTTTGCTCGTCCCGCGGAATCATCCCCTCGCCCATCGTCGTATTCCCAATTCACCCCTAATACGGGCCAGACGGAGGATCCTTTCAAATACGACGCGGAGAAAAGAGATTTGGCGGCCGTTGGTTCCCGAAACAGAACTAGGGCTAGCGTAGTTCCATCTGAACTGCCTTTAGTACGAGAGAGTTCCATCCAGAGTCCAAGTCAGTACCTTGATTACCATGATCGAGGGAAAAGCATAGAAACACTTGATCTATCTTGGCTTCAACCTCCCAATTCAGGAAAGTACAATGAAAGCATTAACTCGTACTCTGAAGAAAGTACCATCGAACGAGCGATGCGTAGAAAGATCTCTTTACCTTCAACTATCCACCCGCTCTCAGGCTCTGATCCTGCTCCTCTACCTGGTTCTAGTCAGCGTCGATCTCGTTCCGCACCTCGATTTAAGAGTATCGGAAAGGCACCAAAGAGATATACACCTTCGCCAACGATAAGCTCTTATACGAGGGAGAGTATATACATCGAGCCTATCATTATTCCACCGAGACAGTACGGTGGATTCCCAAATGTCGAGGTTGAGCAGGGGAGTTTGAATGGGGGGTCAATGCTCAGTGGGATAACTGGAATGGATGGTATAACAAGCCGGACGAGTAGAATGGACGGAAACAGTGCTGGTAGTGGTACGTTACGAGACTCAAATATTCTAGGTCTGGGTAATGATACACGAGGATGAGCCTTAGGTTGGCTTTCAGGAGAGCAGTGTCGAAGTGTTAGACTTTCAACTGATCCTTCGTTCAAACCTATGTACATATATCCGCACAATTGTGATATGAATTCTGTACCAAACTCAATGGTGCAACAACAACAGGTGGCGATACCACTGACATAGTGACGATAAGTGTATGATAGTGGGAATCGGAGGAAGACCAAAAAGACAAAAGAATCCATCACGACGCCAGCAGGATTTGAACCTGCGCCCTCAAAGAGGAACAGATAGGTACGAGTTGAATTCTAATCTGTCGCCGTAACCACTTGGCTATAGCGCCTACGTAATTATAGTCCAGCGCCTACTGTGCAGTCACGCTTCAGGCTTCGTGAAAATTTGATGTCGTTTCTTGACATCATTCGTAACCACCTTCAGAACCTGCACTTGACCTGCATTATTGGAGTCTATCCCAGGGAATGCCATACCGACAATCCAAAGAAAGTGATTCCAGTATCGCCATGCCCGCAATCACAATGGAAGACGATCTGGGCATCGTCTATCTCGTGGATAACGCTCAGCAATTCTGGTCCGGTGTGTTAGTCTCGAAGGTATTAGAGAAGGGGGTTAAATATCTCACCAAATTATTTCTAGAACTGGAGGATATACTGGTGATTCCAAAAGAAGCTATACCGACTTTGGAGCAACTGGATCTGACACTAAAGAGGTCATTATCATTGTGCGCGGCGTACCATGGTGAGTGAACGCTGAGGTTTACCACTGTACTGGAGCTCATCTACTTATATAATAGAACAATACTTGCAAAGCCCTTTCCAACTGGAACACGCATGTAACATGCTCCTCGATACTGAGCTATTCGTGTTCCACTCTGAACGCATGTGCGATATTGTCACCTCTGAAGCACAATCCAACACCAATCCCCACTTCCAATTTATCTGTTTCCACGTTCTACTCAGCTTCGGCCGACGACGCTCAGATTTTTTCCGGTCACATAAACGCTGGCAACCACTTCTTCCGGTTCTTATGGACCATATCTTAGTGGAAATCGACTCGGATGTGGAGGATACATATTTTGGCCTCTCTGCGGGAGTTGGATCAGGGTCTGGATACGGTGGCGCGAATGTTCCTGTACCCATTGAAGCCAAACTACGGAGCTTAGGCGTTCGATTACTCTACGAAATGTGTAGAGTGCAGAAACTGTCTATCCAGGATCTCCGGATCTTTGATGACTCCTTCCTCGACTATCTGTTCGATTTGGTGGAACAGACAAGGCACATGCAGGATGACACGTTCAATTATTCTGTCATCAAACTAATTGTGGCACTCAACGAACAGTTCATGGTGGCATCTCTTGGGGATGAACCCGGGACGAATGGGAATGGCGCAAATCGACATTACCAATCGTCCCCGGAGAATAAGAATCGAGTAATGAGGGTGCTGATGAGGCGGCTAGGCTCAAGTCAAGCTTTTGGAGAAAACATGATCTTCATGTTAAATCGCGCTCGTAGGTGCACACTTCTTCCATATCGCAAACTGACTCAATATTTCTTAGAACGCACGCCAGAAGATCTTTGCATGCAACTTCTTGTGTTGAAACTGCTTTATCTCATTTTCACTACCAAAGGCACCGAAGAGTATTTTTATACCAACGATCTCTGTGTACTGGTCGACGTTTTCTTACGCGAACTAGCCGATCTGGATGATGATAGTGATTCGGTAGATCATTTCTGCACCTAATCCGTCTTTGATATCCCATTTACCATATTGATTCTAGCTCCGACATACCTACCTTCGCGTCCTTCACCCCCTCCTCACGAAAACTCAACTTCGCGCAATACCTTACAAACGTCCACAAATCCTCTACATGCTCGAATCACTTATACGCACCTCTAACGTACGCGACGTGAATCCGATCACAATGAGGCTGGTGCAAAGATGCCTTGGGGGTGAATGGTGTGTAGGATTGGTGAGGCAGAAACAGGTTAAGGCGGCAAAGGGTGTCAATGAAGACGACGATAAAGACAGTGAACTTAGCTGGAATGTCGCTGATACGACTGTTACGACGCATACGACGAACAAAGTAAATGGGGCACGCTCGCACCTCGGTGTCGGGTCATCATTATCCACGACTGTCGGTGCTCCTACTAACATCAGCACAACTTCTTCTGCACCATCTTCTGCACCTCGTACGCTCAAATCGAGCAAGAGCATGGAATTCAAAAAAAGCCGAAGTGGGGGTGTTACTGAGCACAGCAATTACAACAACCCCAGTACTGGAGTTCCTGATGAAATACCCGCACTTCCTCGATCTCCTCGTTCACCCTTATATTTTGAGAGCGTCCGGAGAGGAAGTAATGCTAGCAATGCAAGTTTCAGCAGTGCAAATAGCGGGACTAGTCTACATGTTGTCGCGTCCGCTGCTGCACCCTCTGAACCTCCACGTTCACGTCTGCATCCACCCCCACCTCCGCCGATTAATATCGTCTCTCCGCCTCCCTCTTCCACTACTACTTCTTCGCAGCCACCACTGTCTTCCTCCCACTCAGGACCAATCCCTCGACAACCCCGGCGTCAGGGAACAGCTAACAGTGCCCACGTCGAAGGAGCGTTCGCTGATCCCAACTCGACACACCATCACCATCATAATCATCACAGCCAACACGGAGGGTTAGGCCAGTCATTAAACTCCACATTGGTGTTATCCTCTCTATCTGGAATGTCCTTGACCACTTCGCCTACTAGAGGAAATTTCAGTTCCAAACCTAAGTCTAGTTCGGATATTAACATTTTACCAAGTCAGCCACAAGAGCAGAAAGAACGACGAAGTGCTCCGCCGCCACCTATCCAGACAAAGAGGAGAAAGCCTCCTGCGATTCCTGTTGGACGCTCCCCTGCTGGGAGTGTCAGCCCTGGGGGAAGTGGAGTGACGTTCACAGCGATCAAGAGTAGTGGGGTTTCGAGTCCACTGGGGCGATGACATTCACTAATCATCCACCGGTATTGCCTCATTTTCCGGCTTCCATGAATGAGGGGATGGTGTGTTTAGGACAGCAGCGTGTGTCGGTTATCGTTCCACATCTTCTTTCATATATTGCATTTCCTGTCGAATCACTCTCCGCATATGTTTTGGGTCTTTCATGTACATACATTCTTTATGTAGCATTAACTATGGATTTTATTTTCATCGACTTCTTCATCGTTGTTCAAACGTTCATACCTCAGAAGTACAGCGGCGTTATATGAAAGTACAGCCGTTCATATGCAAGGCGCTATAGCCAAGTGGTTACGGCGACAGATTAGAATCAATGAAAAATCTGTTCCTCTTTGAGGGCGCAGGTTCAAATCCTGCTGGCGTCGTTGGAAGTGTGATATTGTTTCCTTTTTGGCTAATTACAGTACCATTCCAAAGAAGGATTCCAACGTAGAGACACTCGTAGGAGAGACGATAAGAGCTCGAAGTTCTGGAGGTATAAATATACACTTGCTTCCACCCTGCTCCACCAAGATTGTCACGATCTTTCACTCAGATCCAAATATTTCATTCCACAACGACAAAGCAATGGCGGCAAAAAGAACTCGAGGAAGAGTAAGGTGAGCACAGAATTACGGAGTTCAATGGTTCTGTCGTTGTACTCCACACTACTACACATTGAAGATGAGGGATGTGACTCATATTATGATTCCTGAGTACACAAATGACGTCTTGAATATATACAACTAAATGGGGACTATGTAAAAGGATAGTAGGATATGCATAAAGGCATAGGAGCATTTCCGAAATTGTCCAGGGTTCTTCTACTTATCCTGACAGTCCTGTGTGATGTGATACGCCCTTAACGGTCTTCATACATTACAAGGAAAGAAGGTCTAATAGCGTCGTTTGTGAAGACCACGTATTCATCATCTTTCACACCATTTCCTTTCCCTACCACTAGCTGTTTGAACATTTGTGTCCTGTTTAATTGACCATGATATAAACACAATGTGGAGAACGTACCGAATCAAAACCTGGCGGTGGTGAGGTAACTTCTCGGTACGACGGATGGTCCCCATGAATTAGGTGTCCTTTACCAATGACAACCTTGTTCAGGAGGAGCGCCTTCAATTTCGTGGCTGCAGCTGGTCCGAAATTCCGTGAATAGCTACATGCCCTAATGATGATGATATCCCATTAAAAATAATGCAAATTAGAATTACTTCACAAATACCCACTTTGATGCGCTGGGGGACGTATAGATTCCTCTGCCGAATCTGTGTAGTATGATTCATAGAACGAAATAGAAGTATCAGCAAAAACAGAGAGATATATTCAACAATATGCGAAAATGTGGAGAAGCCAGAGAGAAAGACAAAATAACTCCCCACCTCGCTACATTTGTTTTCACGAATCCGATATCGAACGAGGATTTGATGACGCAGCAAAGTGAGCATGAGCTGGAAATACAAAAGCGGGAGCGGTCCCGTTCACCGAGGAGACACTCCCGGTTTGTCCCATGCCAACTTTGAGCTTCGTTCCCGGCACTCATTGGGGGAAATGCAGCAAATTGTGAACGTGCCTCGATGGTCCTCCTACATGTACAGGGTAAAAAGAGTCACTTTCACAATCCGATCCAGAGATTCCAATACAACCAAGCATTAGTAGGAATAGAGAAGAAACCTTACTTGTACCTGTGATAAGCTGTTGTCATTTTCTCTGGATACATGATCTTGAAGATATGTTTGACACATGGACTATTCGGGTCTGTCCATGAGTAGTAAAATTGATCCCGAACTATTTCGGAATTGGAAATCGAGGGCGGGATGAGCTGCAATGGAATCCAGAGATGAAAAAGACGATCTCACCATCATCAAAGTCTTTATGACCTGCGGGAACCTTGAGGAGTATCGGTCCCTTGGACTTGGTGATGAACATGCATGTTTGGCTGCAGAAAATATGCTCGGGACGGACGGTCTTGGCGAAGCATTCAATGCAGATATTCTCCCCACGACTTAGCGGGGGTCAGGTTAGTGTTTCCAGAGAAATGGGATAATGAAAATGTTTCTACGTACTTCATGTGATCCTTTGAACAATAATCCCCAAGTGCTCCATCAGGACTGCAGTAAACTTCCTGTTTACAGCCTTTTCGCAAGCACTGACTAGAAGAAGAAGAAGAAGTTAGTACTTGGGACGGACTGTGGAGGGACCTGAAATCATCGCCAGGTACATACCGTTGATGTCTTCTTGAACAAAAATCCCCAAACGTTCCATCCGGATTCTCATGAGCACGCTTCGAGCATCCTGGAAGACGACAGGGGGGATTGTTGGACGTTGTTCCTGTCTCATCATACACAGAGACCGTCATAGTTGAGGACTGGCATATCGTGGATCTGACACTATGGCTCGGAGCAATCACAGCAGGAGACCTCGGGACCACCATATTTTGACCAGAGGAATACTGTGAGGCTGGCCATGTTGCCACAGGATGCATGTCAGTCGGTGCAGCAGCAACGACTTCCTGACAAATGGGCATTGCTACTACCACAGGGAATCCAAAAACTGTGGGGTACACAGGGTAGTGTGCATTGGATATATAGTGCTGCATGATGATGATGTGAAACAAAGGTCGAACAATCCCAAGGAACTAAGGAGAGTGAGTGGCTCGCCTTTTTAAGGATTTGCGTGAGGGGAGGCAGGCCGTAATCGCGTTACTTGCTTTGTTTTTTTAGAGATACCGAAACGTCTGATTTCCTTTCAAGAATCGACAAAAAAAATGGTAGTAGACGAAACTAGAAAGGCCAATACATAACTCCACGCGCATCCATCGTTGCATCTGCTGCATCTGTCAAGAATCAAGCTTCTCAGATGTTACTGTATATAGTAGCCGTTGGGAATGAGACGAAAAGTACAAATGTCTTGAGAAGAGCGCGGACGGTATAATTTCGCGTTCCGTCGGTGCGTTCTGCGTTCCGACAGATTTGCGTTCACATTTGTTGCGTTCAAATATTTGCGTTCACGTTCAACATAGCTGCGTTCAGGTTAAATATTTATTATATTGACTTAATTTTTCCATTGAGCATTATCTACAAGTAATCTATGTAGTCTACCTTTCAGAACATCTGAAACTATCTCTATTGATTTGTCTGGAACATTTTAAGTTGAAACAATAAAATACCCAAGAAATTGAATTGGGGCACAGAAATTTTGCAGCTACACCTGCAGTAACAGTCACTGCAAGGTTAGCTGCACTCCACTACAGTGTATCTTGCAACGCTATTACAGCATATAGATGCTGGCATTAATTGGATTTAAAGGAAGATTTACAAATATTTAATCAATGAGGTGAGCTAATCTAGGCATCCTCCAAGACTTCCTACTCACCAATGATCAGTGTATGTTATGATCTATCTCAGTTATGTGTAAAGCAACTGTATTATCATATGTACCTGTTATGATCTATCTACATTAGGTTAGTATAGTAGTATTTGTACAGTGAATGTACTTTGAGCTCACCTCAGTTGTGTGTAAAGCAACTGAGGGACTCAAAGATAGCTGTCTGCGTAATCTATGTAGTCCTGTACAGTATAAGCTAATAATGCAATTTACAACACAGAGTCGGAATGGGGATTATGTGTGTATGTATGGAGTATCTTCCCAACAGTGTACACTCCATGTGCTTGAGACCTAGATCTCCTTTCCATTGGTTTGAGCTTGTGCTCTGGCACTCAGATGACATCTGTAAAACCTGTATTTTCAGCCAAGGGTCCAAAAGAAGTTTAGAGTGTTTCCCAGCAGCAAAAGCATTCAATGCAGACTTCTGTTAGTGCCACTGGGATTTACTCTCAGCCCTTAGCCAAGCATCCAGGTTTTGCAGATGATTCACTATCCCTCTTCGGCCCAGGCCACTTCAAATTCATTGTATTTCATATTTCAATGTGTACCTATAAACCAGAAAGCTTGCAGTAGATTGCAAGTTTTCCTTCTTGTCTAACCTACCTGCATCTCTCAGGTGAACATTCTATTTTACTATGTCTGCCTAAGCTGTACTCATGTATGGACAATTTGACAAAACAGCACCTTGTTGATTAGATGTATTTCTGCTGCCTATATGATTATAATGTGTGTCAACTCAAACTCAACACTTTCAGGTCCAAACATTAGTCCTTAGTAGAGTACACAAGTCAGCAGCTTAGTCTCCTGATGAAGGTACATTTGATATTTTTCTTACATCTGCAAAACCTATATGTTTGGTTCAGGGTCCAAAAGCAGTTGAGAGCATTTCCCAGCAGTGAAAGCACTCAGAGCAGACTGCTTTCAGTGCTTTCAGTACTGGGATCTGCTCTCTGTTGAGTGACAATCTCAGTTGATAAGAGAAACAACTGTAATAGTATATCTAAATACCTGTTGAGTGACAATCTATAGTACTTGAGTAAGACTAAGGATAAAGAAAAGAAATAAGTAATCTCACCTCAGTTGATAAGAGAAACAACTGAGGGAGTATAAAGTTATGTATCGAGTGTTATATGGTGATCGAGAAATATAGGGGTAAGTCAGAATTGGTGGCCGGAAAGAAGAATCGCACAGGACAAAGCTGAGCATACGGAGTACCAGTCCAACACTCTCAGCCCTCAGCCAAATATCCATGTTTTGCAGATGTAGGGCATAAATTTTGTGTGTATCACCTGCACTTGGATTTTGAAATTGCATACAAAGTGGATGTACCTGATAATATTCTTGGAAGTTTATGTACTCACCATTCAACAGATACCACTGTGCTTGCATGTATACACTGTGACTGCACTGTGACTGCACTGTGACCACATGTACCTGCACTCTAACTACACTGGCAGTTTGATACACAAGTGTTAAGATCATGTACAACGTGTAACCATGCCAGAGGCCACAAAGTGTCTAAGGGCGGAAGGTCGAATGGGACAGTAGTGAAGTTATTAACAACACCACCGTTATGCCGCTAGTCCCTGTCATGCCCTGACTACAACCAGGCCAGTCCCAGCAGCAACCACACGCTCCCACACCCCCTACCTCACGTATCTCACACTCCCGGTACCTCCCCAAGACAGTACAACCACCAGTACAACCACCCCTGTTTTCAATACCCTTTCTATTCCCAAACGCCTAGATCCCCCAACGCGTGCACGAAACCTCCTACCACTAGACCCATTAAGTACCAATCTCGATTACCTGCCTCATGTTCTCCAGATTCCCCAATGTCCCCTTGTTCACTTCCCGTACCTATTTAAGTAGTCTTGTAATGTCCCAAAGCCCCAGCTTGGTATATTTTGAACACACACCCTTTTGCATAGGTCCAGTCCCTGTCCCTTTGTACCTGCTCACCATATGGATTTCTCTTTACTCTCTGTTTCTCTCTCTCAGTTTCTCTCTACTCTTGTCTGTTGTCTCTACGATCATCTATATGATCCAATATACGCTTTTACTTCACGTCTAAGCAATCCAAGTGAGTCTCCAAGCTCCCCAACGCCTAACGCCTTGGTAAGCTAACCTCCCAAAAACCTCCTCGAGCTCCCCAATTGCTCCACAAGTTCTGGGACCTCGATCTAGGTAACGTCGAAGCTACCCCTTACATCGAACTACGTGCCGCTTCTCCGTTACAACCTCCAACACTCGAGGACGTCCACCTCTAAGCCCCAGTTCCCGGGACCTCCCCTCCCGGACGTATATCTTCTCAGGAGCTTACACACTCAAGACCCACTTCCACTACGGCCTATTCGATCTTACGTTGACGTTCTAGCAAGTACAACTCCTACTACGCAACACTACTAGGTTCCGTACTTCTACCTCCCCTACCTATGCCTTAGGGACCTCCCTGGACCTTATAGGAACCCCTTCAAGGGTCACATCTCTCTATCCCAGCCACTACTAGGTCATTCCTGTCCTCGGTCGCGGTTTCTGTAGCTCCCTTTGAGCTCCAGCCTGCTCCTAGCATGCTACAACATAAACTCCTTATACCAAAACCTACCCTAAGACCTATTCTGACAGGTCTTACACGGAGACATGTAGAGGGACGATGGGATAAGCACCCAATAAGGAAAGAGGAGAGTGGGATTGGTAAATGAAGGCACCCTCCCTTTGAGGGATTACCGCTAGATCTGGCCCGGAGGTTTCAATGCCAGTGCATAGGACTTTGTTGAGTTCCATGTGCAAAGGCACATGGTGCTTGACAGCAGACAAGTTGACAACCATCACTCAGATGCCCCCAACTTTCAACATTCCTTTTGCAACTCAAATCAACCTCAACCACAACTCACATGCTGTCACTGATGTCTCGGATGGGACAAACATGAACCACAAAAAATTAGCAATTCCATGTAAAAAGTGTTTTTTGGCAAATCCTATGTAGCTTGTATAGGATATATAGAAGGTTAGGTTATGTATTCTCAGTCCAGTTACTACAACAACCAAGGTTAAGTACTATTGAGTACTACCAGGCACTACCTGAGACCCCACTTTTGGCTACTGGTTATTACTTCATACTTCAATTACAACTACCAGTCACTATATCATTCTACAGGAAGGGGTACTTGTCTATAGTGCTATTTTTACTGCTCAAGCTACTTGCTACTACCTAGTGAAGTCTGTGATTCCTGATGTAGCTTTGTTTGTGGAGAAGCTTAAGTGCATAGTTACTAGCCTTTTGAATAAACAAATCTGAGCAAGCAGCTATGTCTTTCTTGCATAGTGACAGCCCTAGTTTACTCCAACAATGTAATTACAGCAATTATATGCCTCCATCTCTGAGTTAATCTTTGTGATTTTGTCTACATCCACAAACAAGCTTAAGCAGTGCTCCAACAGCATGAGGAGCCTGATTTTATCCTAGACTTTTGGAATTAGCTGTATTTTGAATATTCCTATATTAATTTCAGCCTGATCTTTAGCAGATTGTTCCAAAATAATCTCAGCTCCAATTTTTCAACCTAATCTTTGTGAGGAATATGTTTCATTCCTGCAGTGTTTACTTCCAGTCCAACCCATGCTATGAAACATGTATATCTGTGCTATCAGTACACCCTGCTTATTACAACTACCCTCCGACACATAAGGTGCAGTCCACAACAGTGGAGCCTAGTGAAGACTAGTTATTGAATTACTTGGAACTAACTCAAAATTTGCAATCCAATCTCGAGTGGAGCCAGAACGCACCCTGAACGCACCTGAACGCATGGAACGCAGGTGAACGCAAAGATCAAAATTGAACGCATATAAGGTGAACGCACCTGAACGCATATGGACGCGACATCAATTCATCAAATTTGCGTTCATACATTGATTGCGTTCCGAGTTTACATAAATATTGTTAAATTTCGATATTTTGACTGAAATGTTACTAATTGTTTCACTAATCTACTACATATTGTACAGTCTATGCACACATTATGTATAGTACAATCGAAGTAATTAATAATTGAACACTAAAATCATATTATTGTACATAATATAATAAATATATGAACGCATATGAACGCACGAAACGCGAACGTGAACGCAGAACGCACCGACGGAACGCAAATTTCTACCTACCGAGAAGAGCGTACATCAGGCGTACATAAACATTTGGTCTTAGGCGCCGATGAAAAGAATATAAACGGCTCATTGACTCATTGATAATTCAAATTGGTTGGTGTCCGAACATCAACCTCGATGCTCACACACTTTGACCTCCGATTGACGTCGACCCACAAACCACCCACAAACTATCCTATTCAATTGAGTAGATCGGGCCTGTTAAAATTGATTTACCTCTTTGTTCAAACTCCCTTGTTTTGCAAATCGCAACGACTTTTCCCATCTTGCAATATGGTGGGTCTTCTGATTCTGACATGGCATTCTGTCTCGGGGGGCTGCGGGGACTTGTGGGGACTTGTTCTGAGAAACGATTGCACACCAATTTGAACGTAGCCTTTTTTAATTTATTCAATTCCAGTCTATGGTATGTTCATTCTCGAGGGACTCACGACTGATATACTGATACCATACCTAGCAAATTACTGGGCAAATCCGGAGTGCAATTTGGAGGACACGATTTTCAGGTACCCATCTTGTTTGTGCAACGGACCTAGTCTCTACATATATTGTTCGTCTGTTTTGTTTTTCTTCCCCTTCCCTTACTACCGTCTTCTTCTTCTACTGCTATCACATTTCTATGTCTTCGGCTTACTACTCCCTCTCCTCATAGCAACCTTTTATCCCATCCAAATCAATCAATTTCGAAGTGATGCAAACTGCTATAGTCATTCATCCCGATTTTTCCCAAGGGCCAAAGCATTGCCTCCTCCTCCTCTTCACCTCACCTTGACCGCGTGTTAGTGGAAGCACTTATCAAAGTGCTTGTTTTATTTTTGTCAAAGATGATTGAAGGGCCATCATTTGAGTCAGTTGTCAGTTTGCTGTAAGGACCCACATTTACCATTGAGTTATCGAGTGAGTCTTGTTTCTATTCAGTGGACGCCGCAAGGACTTTGTTCTACTACTAGTACTTACTCCAACAGAACTCTATAAAATGGTTCACTACCTCCGTTCTTTTTCTGCACCGAGTCCCCCTTCTTTCAGTACACAAACGACCAATCAATCATGCCAAACACCAACTCTTCCCGCTCTTCGTGGTTAACTATCCAACAGCCTGAGCATTTTCCAGGAGACTCTGAGAGTAGAGTATCCCTCTATTCCGGACCCGTTCCCAGGGAGGATACTACTCATTCGATGGCACTTTCGGCGGTGAATGGTCCTTTGAGTACTAGGCACTCAGCCCCCCATAGTATCTCCAATAGTTACCCCTCCAACCCATCACGAGACAGTAATCACGACCGGCCTGAACCCACTGCATCTCTCGAAGTTTACATGCGAGACCGCGGTATAGTTCCCTCGAGCGCTAGTGCTAGCCCTGCTAGTGCATACCGTGGAGAAAATCGTTCTGATGCTGGGAGGCATAGCCACGGTGAGATTGGTCTGGGTCTACCTGTCGTACATAGCATGCTATCGATCGTGCCAAGTGCGACTACCGCAGTCGCAGTCATTCCCGGGTACCCCATGCTAGTGCAAACAAGCTTTAGCCCGACCAATTTGGACTCAGGACCTTTCAGTACCGGTGCCGCCAGTTGGAGTTATGGTACTTATACTGAGAACTACATCGGTGGCTTCAACGGGGGTCACCACAATGGGGATTATAGTCACAGCAACAAGCACGCTGAAAGTTCTTGCTACCCTCGCCGTGGCAACCGCGATGGCAATCGAATCTTCTTCTACCATAAACACCAGCCGTATTTCGAGTTCACGAACTTTTCTCGCCATACTGTTTCGTATGAGGGGAAGATATACCCTACAAGTGAACATCTTTTTCAGGCTTTCAAGGTCAGTGGGGAGCATCATGATTGTGTTTTTTTTGACTCATATATAAATATACGCTATATATCTTGTTCTCTGAATCGGCCAGTTCATCGACCATAATCCCCACCTCGCGGAACACATCCGCACTTGCTCGGATCTTCCCCGTGTAGCTCTCATTGAAGCCCATCGTCTCCACGAGAAGCAGAGATCGGACTGGAGAGAGGTCAATGTCGAAAAGGTTCGTAGTAAAACTGATTTACATTCACAAATCATATCATTCCTCAATTTTTTTTTCCAATTTGACAACTACGTATTTCATAATTCCCATAACTCCCAACCCCTCAGATGGAACTCACGCTCTACCTCAAATTTACCCAACACAGACAACTTAGAGAAAAGTTGGTGTCCACGGGAAATGCGGAACTCGTTGAGGTACGTGAATCCGTTCCGTTCCGTTCCTGTTTCGCGCCCCGGTTGTTCCTGTTCTATTCCCGACCTTTTCCCCCTTCATGTCTTTTCCTCTTTCTCTTTCCTTTTGTCCTGTTCCTCCGAGCCTCCCCTGCATTGACTCTCAACATTACTCAACAACACATTGTATTTGATACAGAACTCGGACACAGACAGTTTTTGGGGCATCGGCCCAGACGGACGTGGACGAAACGAACTCGGGAAGGCTTTGGAGAGGTTACGAGCGTATTTGCGTGGTGGTGCTTGATCTGCCAAATCAACACTCATACTACTAAGATATGACATGATCCCGATGGCGGCAGAGTCAAGGGTTTCAGTTAGATTTCGGTAGAACTCTGTATGGTGAACACTGAATTTGTAGACTAGTACCACAGTATGTCAGTATTTGGACACTTTGCTTCCCTCCTGTATTCTTGTACGAGATGCCGATGAATGGCAAGGGGCCGGCGAGCGACTCAGAAATTCAAGTATTATTAAATGTCGTGATATACGTAACTGTAGAATAAGGGGGAGGCATTGAGGATGAAAAATCACTGAGACTTGAGGATCCGTTACAGCCTAATTTAATTGTCCATTCCGCTATATCCAATTCTTCCGTCTCCTGGATAAAACAAGGGAAGTGAGGGAGGGGTTTGGGCACAATAGGTACTGGTCTATTGAGGTCTAAAGCTCTCGTGGGGATATGGAGGAGTATGGACTCGGTTACTGGGAGAGAAGGGAACAAAGTTGTTTCATTTATTATAGTCTATACTCTATAGGACGATCATCGTAATACTCAACAAATCGTAACCCATCCTAGTTATATCCAGTGTCCACCACATCAATCAAATTCTAGTGATTCCCTCTCTATGATCAACAAACCCCACCACCTTGTAGATACACTCTCAGCCTTTCCAAAGCCTTCCCAAACTCATTCCTTCCATGCCCGTCAGGACCGTTTCCCCAGAAACTATCTGTATCAGAGTTCTGTGACTGTTACGATCACTTCTTTTTCATCTTATCTTTCTCCTTATCCCTTGTCTTATCTTTTATCTTTTGTCTTATCTTCTATCTCCCTTATCCTATATCTTGTCTTATCTTGTCACCTGACCTATTATTTATGCTTACTGATACAACATGCGCTTTTCATTTACTTATATTAAACACAGCAGTCTCACAACACGTATACAGCATGGCGATCGAGCTTTCATTACTTACACATTGCTTTACTTATGTTCTACTCATGTTTACCACTAACCCAGGGCGTTGGGCATTACTAGGGCAGAGGGTTGTTCACTAGTATATAGGCTGTAGTTACTTGCTGTATTTCCTTAGCTTTGATCTCGTCTATTCTACCTGGTTTAGCCCAGAACTTTGCTTACTTCCTTTATCGCCTTACTGTTGAGGTTTTCTTGAGTGTGACACCTGGTGACACCCGTTACTAGAACCAGTCGCTGACAGAAGATCAAAGCTATTCTTACCACCTGTCACACGCTACGCAATCATATCCCTATCACAATTATCCCCGCTCACATTTTTACCAACCCTTCACAGACTTCTACTCTCTATTCGAGCAGTGTCGCCTATAGTACAAAGGTGTAACGTTGAGTCCGACACCGTACTGGCAGACGAAAGCGTCGACTGATCACTAATCTTCGGAGAGGGGTCTTCGCGTGCACAACGAGCTCCATTCCTAGACAGGGAGGGTGCATCTGTTCATCAAGCGAGAGTGGAAGGCTGCTTCCCACATCATCGTACTCTATTTTCGAAATCTCTCCCACACTACTCTCGACTTCTACAAATCCAATCATACATTTTCCCATCATCACCACCGGGTTGCATTAGTAACTCGTCTTCCTTACAACGGATTTTACTTCAAGACTAGGACGACCTAGACTTTCGGTACAAACCGATCGTTACCGTACCCCCGATTCATCTGCTCCATCCACTTCATCTTCTATCGAACGAAATATCACCTCATTCATACCTGCCTACATACCACCCAACTACAGCATGTCTAACCCTACTCCCGCTCCCACCACCACTACCTCCAATATTCATGGCAAGTCGTTGCTCAGAGAACCTAGCATCTTTGATGGCGACAAAGCGCAGTTCAAAGAGTGGCGTCGTACCCTCTTTGCCTACATTCGTGATCCAAGGAATAGGATCGTTACAGACAGTGAAAGAATTGACATTGCGGTCTCGTATATGCGAGGTCCCAAAGTCAGTAGCTGGGTCCAGAATTATACGGACGATAATTTCAATGACGACGAGGAGGAATGGAAAGTCACCTGGAAAGGATTCAAGGACGCATTGAATGCCTCCTTCCTAGACAAAGGACTTACAGAGAACGCACAGGAGAAGCTAGAACATCTCCGTCAGGGCCCCAATGAGAGGGCAGAGGATTTCTTCAAGGAATTTGAAGTCATCATGAGAGACGCTGGATATGCTAAGGACGCCCCCTACGTTATCAGACTGATCGAAATGAACGTAAAGCCGAAACTGATCGACCAAGTGTACGGCACCAGCAATGAGCGAATCGAAAAATTCGATGAACTCAAACAGAAGATTATCAGCATTGACGACATGTGGTGGCGTCGTGAGGAAATGCGACGAAATTGGTCAAGCAGATACCAGCGGAATGCTGGGCAAGGACCTAGTAGCCAGAGATGGCAACCACAAACGACACAGGCTCCCGCAACTAAAGCTCCGACCCCTGCGGTACCCACCCAGGATAGGAAAGACGGCACTGGAACGACTTTCAAAGGTGCAGGCAGACCAATGGATATTGATGCTGCGCGTCGCAACAAGGAATGTTTCCATTGTGGCAAGCAAGGCCACATTGCGAAGTTCTGTCCAGAGAAAGCACCGAAGCCGCAGTTCGTCAGAGGCATGTGGAGCCGGATGACACAGGAGGATCAGGAGACCATGGCCAAAGAATTGGGTTTTGTCCTGCCCCAGCAGTAGACGCAGGTCTGCCGGGGCCAATCTCAGAATCAGTATCGGACTTTTCGCCATCGTCATATGTAGACAGTCAATTTAGTTTTGAATTTGGTAGTACTGGTACACCCAATAAAAATAACTTATCTACAATGACGACCCGAGCTGAGAAAAAACCTGTGAGATATGAACCAAACACACCTGAATGGGTGGCGCAGCGGTTACAAATGGACAAACTCCCTATGGCTATAGGAATCCTTAGAGCCTGGATGCCTGAAAGTCGTGTCAGAGAAGCATCGGAAGAAACGGTATTGGCTATACGAAATCTGAATCATGCAACCGCAACTGAAGCAATTACCAATCTCAAAAGTCGTAAGAGATTCGTCCGAGGTACCCGAGGACGTGAGCTAAAGTTGCGAACCACTATTGAGAATATCGACAATGGTGTACAGATTGAAACGGAAGCCCTCCTAGACAGCGGAGCCACAGGGTCCTGTATCAATAAGGATTTTGTAGAACAGCACCAGCTCACTGTTAAGGAGTTACCAGTCAAAATGCCGGTCTATAACGCCGATGGCACTCTGAACAAAAATGGTTCCATAGAAGGCTATGTACAAGTCCGAATGGTGATAGGAGATCATGCCGAACGGATAGATATGGCAGTTACCAATCTAGGCAAGACAGATATCTTTCTAGGCATAGACTGGCTACGTTACCATAATCCTAGCATTGATTGGAAGGAATCTACGTTAACGTTCGAACGTTGTCCTGACAAATGCGGGTATTTGCCACACTATGAATCACCTGAGGATGATGGTACAGAGGAAAAACTTGTCGATGGTGAAAGGATCTTCTGGTTCGATTGGGATGGGTATTTTTCTGACCAAGGCCATATCAAAGTACAAACTGCCACTACAGATGCCGCTACTCCGTACCTTGCCGAGTATGCTGATGTATTTAGTAAAAAAGACTTTGACCAAATGCCAGAAAGACGTCCATGGGATCATGCCATAGAGTTAACGCCAGGCTCCAAACCAGTTGACTGTAAAGTCTATCCCCTCAGTCCACCGGAACAGAAGGCTTTAGATGAATTCCTAGAGGAAAACCTTAGATCGGGACGAATACGACCATCACGCTCACCCATGGCTTCACCTTTCTTCTTTGTCAAAAAGAAAGATGGAACACTACGGCCTGTACAGGATTATCGAAAGCTAAATGACATGACTGTCAAGAATCGATATCCACTCCCGTTAATCCAGGAACTCATTGATAAACTGAAGAATTCCAAGATCTTTACCAAAATGGATGTCCGATGGGGATTTAATAATATCCGGATCAAAGAAGGAGATGAATGGAAGGCAGCATTCCGAACAAACAGAGGCTTGTTCGAGCCCACAGTTATGTTTTTCGGACTTACAAACTCACCCGCCACGTTCCAAGCATTCATGAATCACATCCTTCGAGAGCTCATTGATCAAGGACACGTCATTGTCTACATGGATGATATCCTTATCTTCACGGACAACATTGAGGAACATCGCATCATCGTCAGAAAGGTTCTTGACATCCTAAAAGCCAACAAACTGTACTTGAAACCTGAAAAGTGCACCTTTGAGGCTAGGGAAGTTGAATATCTTGGAATCATCGTAGGCAATGGACAAATCCGGATGGACCCAAAAAAGGTTGAAGCAGTTCGAACCTGGCAGCCACCACAGAAAAAGCGCGAATTACAATCGTTCTTAGGGTTTTGCAACTTCTTCCGCCGGTTCATCCGAGATTTCAGTAAAATTGCCAAACCCCTAACACGGCTCACAGGGAATGCGACTTGGGAATGGACATCTCTTGAACAAGATGCGTTCAATCAACTGAAAGACCGGATCATTGAAGACGTCACTCTCATTATCCCAAGAGAGACTGGAAAGTTCCGGATTGAAGCTGATTCTTCCGATTACGCAAATGGTGCTGTCTTATCGCAAAACGTCGACGGAAAGTGGAGACCAGTAGCCTTCAGGTCCAGGTCACTTAATGAGGTTGAACGGAATTATGAAATTTACGACAAGGAGATGATGGCCATCATGGATTCTCTATCAGACTGGAGACAGTATTTGCTGGGCGCAAAAGAACCTGTTGAAGTCTTTACCGATCACCAGAATCTCCAGTATTTCCGGAAACCTCAGAAGTTGAATCGACGACAAGCCAGATGGGTAGTTGAAATTGCTGAATACCATATTGAGCTCTTCCATAAGCCTGGGAAATCGATGGGAAAAGCCGATGCCCTGTCAAGGATGTCAGGCCTTGAGAAAGGGGAGAATGACAATACCGACGTCACACTGCTAAAACCAGAATTTTTCATTTCTCAAGTAACGGATCAGACATCTGCCCCCGAAGACGATCTGCTTAATCTCATCCGAAGAAAGAAAAACCAGCGAGACAAGTTAGTACAGGTTGCCCTCGAGTCTAAAGACAAGGAATGGCTTGAAACTGAGGATGGACTAGCAGTTTGGCAAGGACGCATCTATGTCCCCAAGGACAAAGAGCTCAGAGGACGAATCATACAGGCACATCATGACGCCCAGACAGCAGGACACCCTGGCCGCTATAAAACTATCGAGTTGATTACACGCAACTACTGGTGGCCAGGAATCAGTCGAGACGTCAGGATCTACGTGGAAGGCTGTGAAAAATGTCAGGCCACAAAGACACATCGTACAAAACCCGTAGGACCATTACATCCACATGACGTACCATCCGAGCCTTGGGAAATCATAGGAACAGATATGATTGGCGAATTACCGGAGTCTGGAGGGTATAATGCCATCAGTGTGTTTGTTGATCACTTCACAAAGAGGTTACGGCTCTTTGCCACACATACTACGATAACATCTGAAGGAATGGCACGTGTCTATCGTGACAAAGTATTCCCAATCCATGGAATGCCCCGGAAGATTGTCCATGATCGCGGCCCTCAGTACCATGCCCGCTTCATGAAGGAACTGTACAAGTTGCTAGGAATCGAAAGCAACTATACAACTGCATACCATCCTCAGACTAATGGCCAGACGGAACGGATAAATCAAGAAATTGAACATTACATCCGTCTTTTTGTGAATCATCATCAGAGTGATTGGCACGAATGGCTTCCTATGATGGAGTTTGCATATAACGATCGAGTACACTCAGCTACGAAGGTTTCGCCCTTCTACGCAGACAATGGCAGACACCCATACAAAGGAACCACACCGAAGATGACGTCACAAAACCCAACAGCACAGGAGTTTGCCGATAGTATGAAACGGATCAGGGAAGAAGTAGGATCAGCGCTGAAAAAAGCCGCTGAGGACATGAAGCGACAATATGACAAACACCGGAATGAAGCGATAGAGTATAAGGCTGGTGATAAAGTCTGGCTTGAAGGAACCAACATAATGACAGATCGCCCAATGAAGAAACTTGGGGATAAACGATTTGGACCGTTTAAAGTTCTTGAAAAGATCGGATCCAGCTCATACAAACTCGACATCCCTCGCACATGGAAAAGAGTCCATAATGTCTTCAACGAAACACACCTATCCCCATACCATGAACCCCAATTCCCGACACAACCCCGAAATACCGAGCCACCTCCAGAAGTAGTTGGAGAAGAAGAAGAGTACGAAGTAGAAGAGGTTGTGGATGCACGCAAGTATCGGAATGGCATCCAGTACAAGGTAAAATGGAGAGGTTACGGACCACATGAAATGACGTGGGAACCTGCAGCTAATATGACGAATGCCAAAGAAGCTGTTCAGGACTTCCACAAAAAGTATCCTAACAAGCCCAGGCCTCGAACCCTTAAACGGATCGAGATTCCGATTGCTCAATTTCCCACTGAATTGTTCCGACAAATACCTACACCAGACATAGAACCAGTCCCAAGTACCATGCCATCTGAAGCACTTGTCAACCGACTTGCGCGTCATGGAATTCGCGCCTTAAAGGGGGGGTAATGTTACGATCACTTCTTTTTCATCTTATCTTTCTCCTTATCCCTTGTCTTATCTTTTATCTTTTGTCTTATCTTCTATCTCCCTTATCCTATATCTTGTCTTATCTTGTCACCTGACCTATTATTTATGCTTACTGATACAACATGCGCTTTTCATTTACTTATATTAAACACAGCAGTCTCACAACACGTATACAGCATGGCGATCGAGCTTTCATTACTTACACATTGCTTTACTTATGTTCTACTCATGTTTACCACTAACCCAGGGCGTTGGGCATTACTAGGGCAGAGGGTTGTTCACTAGTATAGGCTGTAGTTACTTGCTGTATTTCCTTAGCTTTGATCTCGTCTATTCTACCTGGTTTAGCCCAGAACTTTGCTTACTTCCTTTATCGCCTTACTGTTGAGGTTTTCTTGAGTGTGACACCTGGTGACACCCGTTACTAGAACCAGTCGCTGACAGAGACATATATTGTTGTTGTGGTGGTGGTGGCGTTGACGATGATGATGGTGATAGTATAAATGACAGAAACTTGGATTCTGGAAATTAAAATTATTAAAAAAAATTCCAACACACCTCAATGAGCTCCGCATCCCCTGTAGACACCAGCTCCTCGATAAGTTCCTCATGTTGAGTGAATTTCAAGTACAACATGAGTTCCATCTGCGGCCGATGCAGTCCGGGGTAATCAGAAATCAATGAAAATCATAAAAATTCAGGAAAAAAAAACCGGAAGCAAGTAGATAAGTATTTAGAAGGGCACAAAATAGAGGACAGCGGTGGTAAATGAAATCAATCGTATTCTGGAGATTTAGGAATTCAAAACACACACACACATCATTACATTACACACCTTTTCAATCTTCACCTCTTTCCAATCCACTCTCTGCTCCGCTTGGAGCTTATGTGCTTCCGTGCGGGCTATCCTCGGGAGATCGGAGAATGTGCGGATATGGTCTGCAATGAGAGGGCGATAGTCGATGAACTGACAATAATAATTAAATCGAAGGGGGTAGTATGAAATAGAAATCCACAAGCAAAGCAAAACAAAAAAAAAAATCAGCACTACTTTCAAATGTAGGGATTATGACAAACACACCTTAAAAGCCTGAAAAAGATGTTCCCCCGTAGGGTACCTCTTCCCCTCAAACACAACACCATGTCGAGAAAAATTCGTGAACCCGAAATGAGGCTGGTCAAGTTTGACTTGGGATTCATAATCATAATCATCCCTGCTGCAGTCGGTGTAGAACAGGATCCGGGGACGAGGGCAGTAAGAGTCTGGGCTGGTGCTCAGTGCATTTCTTGTGGTAGGGGAACCATTGAGGTTGTCATTACTATTGAGTCCGCTGTACCTCGTGTTGTATCTCCCATTGAAATCACTGAATCCCCTCCTGTCACGGTTATACTTATACCCTCCCCCGGTGTAGTTCCGAGCAGGAGAATATCTCTCATAGTGTCTCTCATTAACGTCCTGAGCACTAAATTCCCCGCCGCGCCCATTATAACAATTCCCACCCGCACTGGTACGGGTATTAGTATCAGTATAATCCCAGTAAGTTCGACCGGGACCAAAAAGGGTCGAACCCGAGCTCAAACTCAAGCCCGAACCCATACCCAAACCTGAGCCAAAGCCAAAGCCAAAGCCAAAGCCAGGCAAACCCAGACCTATCACCGGGACATACCAACTCGAACTCGTTGTCTCCACCGGTACACCGGGGTAATATCCAGACATCTTAACTGCAAACGTAGTGGTACCAGGTGGTACAACAGACCCGGGGACTCGGAAACCCATACCCAGGTGGTCAAAATTGCCATAATTGCCATTACAGTTGCACCCCTGAGCTTCTTCGGATTCGGAATGATTGTTGATGTTATGATGAGTAGTACGACGACGACGACGACAAAGTTCATCATGATGACTCGGATAGTATCGATATTGATTCTCCGAGTCGTCCGGGTCGTTAGTACTATCGTTGTTGTTGTTGTTGTTGTTGTTGCGGTGGTAGCAGTAGTAGTAGTAGTGGTTGTATTTAGCATCGTGGTAGTCACGGTGCTCAGTGTGATGATCGTCGGGGTATACAGTGACATTGTTCTCACCGTTCTCACCATTACCATTCTCGCTGTTGTCATGATCACGGTCGTGGTCAAGGTGGTGGTGGTGGTGTTCACGGAGATTGTTGCAGTGAGAGTGAGAGTGAGAGTGTGAGTGATCTGGTAATTCAATGTCATGGTACTCAGCGACTCCTTGACTAGTGCCACTCGAGGGGATCCTCCTCCCATAATGTTCGTCGTGCATGTACATTTTCCGAGTCTTCGTACTGGAGAGAAAAGGACTTCTGGCAGTGGTAGTGGTGGTGTCTCCAGTGACCCCAGATCCTATCCATATCCTCGGGTGCATGTCTGAATCTATATCTGAGGCAAGATTCCCTGAGCGTCGGATAGTGCGCCATGAAGAGCCAGTTGTGGCACGAGAATGCTGGGATAATGGCATGCCAGTGGTGTGAGGTGTGAGGTGAAGAGGGGGGTGGTTGTTGCAAAAGGTGGTTGCTGCTGCTGTACAAAAACCTGTATCCTTTTATATATCGCTCCCCTCACTCCTCACCGGCCTCACCTCTCACCTCTCAGGCTTGCTTGACTCTTCAAGTTGTGGGAAGTGGGAAGTGGGAAGTGGGAAGTGGGGGGGCGGTGTATACTACAGTACACGAACTCGGCGAACTCTTACAGTTAGTAGTACGTAGTACGCATTGTATACTGGTATTTCCAGAAACGTCTAACAGTGTCTGATGTCTGCTGCGTCTGATGTCTGATGCCTGGTGTCTGGTGTCTGGTGAGTGTGATGTAGTACGTCGGACGGTGGTGTGGTGTGGAGTTGTGTGGAGTGGGTCACGGTAGTATGGTGTGGTAAGGTGTACTGGTGTACCTTGACTCACCATTAACGTGAAAGAAGAGAGGGAGGCCGTTTGTGGAAAGAAGAGAGGGAGACCGTTTGTGGAAAGAAACAGAACACAAATATTCTGGCACGAGGCGTGAACTGTGAACGAGGTGATTGGGGTGTGAATAAGGAAAGGAGTGAGGTGAAGGAGGCAATGATGATGGTGATTCAAGTTGAGAAGCAGAATGAACTTAAAAGAAGAAGATGATGGAAAAGAAGAAGAAGAAGAAGTTCTTGAAGATGATGATGATGATTGAGAAGCAGAAAAAGAGAAACGATAAACCTTACCTCCCCCCCCCTTCCCGGTAGGTAAAATTTTGCGTTCTGCCAGTGCGTTCTGCGTTCTGCGTTTCACGTTTCATGCGTTCTGCGTTTCACGTTCGCGTTTCATGCGTTAATATGCGTTCATATAATTATTATATTATGATTATGTACCGTCCGCCCCCCCCCCTTCCTTGTGTTCGCCGTTCAAGACTTGAGCGCTTGAGCTTGAAAATTTCAAGTTTTGCGGAAGGAGGGCCCGAGGGGAAGGCTGGGCAAGGCCGGTTGACCAGATCTCGTTTTGAAGTTTTGAAGTTTGAACCAAAACAGCATCGACGAACCGAAACAGCATCGAATTTTACAGTAATCTTGCATCTGTGTTCACCTGTCTGTGTGTACAACTTGTCTGTACAGGTGTTCACTGGGAGATTCATATGTACATATACACGGTACACGGTACACAGCTTATAACTATATCACTTTAACATCCACCGAATTAAATCCTTCACTCCCCCCCCTCACTCCTTCACTCCTTCACTCCTTCACTCCTTCACTCACTCCCCCCTCACTCCTTCACTCCTTCACTCCTTCACTCCTGCACTCACTCCCCCCCTCACTCCTTCACTTCTTCACTCCTTCACTCCTTCACTCCCCCCCCTCACTCCTTCACTCCCCCCCCCTCCCCCCTATCCTCCCCTCGCCTTCCACATCTCATCAATCCTCTCAACCCCCATCTGCAACGCCACAAGCGCCGCGCGTACGCGGGTCCCATGGGGTGAGGGTGAGGGTGGGATGTCCGTCTGATTCTGAGTCTGAATCCCAGGTTGAGTCTGAATCCCCCACCGCGACACCGCACTGCGTATGGGAGCAACCAGCGTCCGCTCGATATTAGCGCGGTTATCCGGATCGCGGATGCCTGTCTGGTGTATCGGGAGTGTGTTTAATTTGGATTTTTAATTTGAATTTGAATTTGAATTTTTAATTTTTAATTTTTGATTCAAACCACCCAAGCCCAGGGAATCACCCAAGCCCAACGAAGAAACTGGAACAATTTTTTAAAAAAAAATCCCACTCACCCGATTCGCAACATCAGTTTTTTCCAGCGCATAATACAATGCTAATACATGACCTAGTCTCGTCAACTCCACCTCTAGTGCTTCATCCGTGTCGTTGGGGGGGACTGTGTCGTTGGGGGGGACCGTGTCGTTGGGGGGAATGGTGTCCATGGAGAAGGAGGGATCCAATACAGGTTCGGGGGGAGTAAACAACACTGGTGCGAGGGAGAGTACGAAAGCCGGGGATGCGAGGATATTATTCCCACCAGGGATAGATAGGGCATCCAAAACGAGGTCTTTGACTAGCCCCACAGCGGCTACACGCAACATCTTGGAATGTGGATTATGATGATGTTGATGAGGATGTTGATCACCGGACAACAGATCAACCAAGACCTGGACCTGTATGAACCCCGGAACCGCGCGGAGGACGAGGGATAAGAGGCGGAAGGCACAGAGGCGGATGAAAGGGTCGGGGTGGGCGGATGCGAGGGTGGGGAGGAGAGTGAGGAGAAGTTCAGAGTATGAAAGAGGAGGAGGAGGAGAGTGAGAGTGAGAAGAAGAAAAGAAAACCAAAAGCACAGCAAGCGCTTCATCAAGAAACGAACCCCCGCGTATCGCAGCCAATATCACCGGAGCATGTCGATGCTCCTGATCAAGACCCATAACCACCGCATGTGCCCACAACACAAACGTGTCGTCCCATCTCCCCCCCAAGCGGGTATACACCCCCACCAACCTCTGCATGACCTCCGATCCTTTTTCCAACGCAACGCTGGTGCTTAGGCGGGGAAAACACCGTGCGAAGACGTGGTGGGATAGTGAGCAGGGGATGAAAGGGGAGAGAGAGGTGGTTGTGGAGATGAGGAAGGGGAGGAGGATGTGTTTGTGGGATTCGTCGTCGAAGCAAAGGATAATCCCTTCAACCAAGTCTGTACAGCCCGATAAGAGGTCACTGGCACTCTCAGTGTTCTCAGCGTCGCTCTCACTCTCACACACCATCTGAATAACCAACGCAAGGTCAGGTGCAAACGAGTGTATCATATTCGATACTTTCCTCTTCCGACTTCCCCGAGGCGATTTGGTGATCACTGCGATGTATACCGATTAACAAGAGGAGGATCAATGAGAAGGGACTTGCCAGTGAACAACCGCACAAGACGCAACACCTGACACATCAACGAAATCTCCTTCTCCCCTTTACCTTCCTCAACCCGTCCACGCAGCGCCTCCAACAACTCCTCACACGCCACAATCACTTCCTTCGGACTACACCTCTGCCTGATCACCTCCAACAACGACTCCGCACCCGCGTCGGGCGAAGGTACGAGGTGCGCTAACAGTGTGAGGGGGTCGAGGACCTCATCCTGATCCTGCGTTGTCTTGAGCTCTTCCACGATCCTCTCAAGCCGTGTTGGTCTTGTCTGACTTTCCTCGCCTAGAGCACACACCACCTGATCCGTAAACGCACTCGCCTGCATAAAACAAAACAAAACCAAAGGGAGACTGTGACACGTTACACGTCACAGTCACCACTCGAATGCTTGGTCAATCACTCCCCGAGTACATCTTTATCCTTTCCTCCATATCTCTGCTCCGCCTCGTCGCCCCCTTGAGCTTCCTCTACCTCTCTTATTGTCTCTACACCAAATCACTCACACCGTGTTTATTCCTCTTCGCCCTCCTCGAAGCGTCTTTCTACCTCTTCGTGTATAGACCCCGCAAACATGTGCTGCAGAAATCCATATACACACCCCCGCCACTCACCCGTGCACAGCGCCACGCTCTATTCCTCCAATGCTCCAAGCGTATAGCTGGTAGTCGATACCCCCTCGGGTGGTTCACCTCTCCCAACATCAAGCGGCAGAACGTCGTCGAATGGATCTTGTGGGCGTTGTTCTCCGCGACGCCGGAGACTGCGCAAGAGTCTTGGGAGGAGGAGATGGAGGAGTATGTCACCAAGGTGGAGGAATTACTCGGGATGAAGCTGGAGCAAGGCCGCATACATACGACCAGTGCGTTGAGGTTGACGTTGGATCCAGTAAAAATGGTGCATAGACCATTAATATGGTACCTCGTCGTCGCGCTCGTCGATCTCATCACCTCACTCAAACTCTCCTTCATGGGTTTCACCCACTATTCCAACCCCTCTCGTATCTTCCCCCCTCGACTCTTTCACATATTCACCACCCCCTCCCCATCCGCCACCACGCACTTCTCCTACTGGTACCGACCCCACAAATCACCCACCCGCGACCCCATAATATTCATCCACGGTATCGGCATCGGGCTGTACCCCTACCTCCCTTTCTTCCAAGACCTCATCACCGCCACCCCAGACCAAGGCCTCCTCCTCATCGAGCTCCTCCCCATCTCAATGCACATCTCCTCTCCCCCTGCCAACTCCCTCCCTCCCGTCAAATCACTCCTCCACGGGCTCTACACCACCCTCGACTCGCTCGGCATATCCCGCGCCGTGCTTGCGTCGCATTCCTACGGGACCGTCCTTGCAGCGCATGTTCTCCGCGCTCAGCGGGAATCACAACAACAAGACCAACCCCCACGCATACACATAACATCCCACCTCCTCATCGACCCCATCCCTTTCCTCCTGCACCTCCCCTCCGTCGCATTCAACTTCCTCTACCGCCCCCCGCGCGCGGCCAACGAATGGCAGCTGTGGTACTTTGCGTCAAGGGACCCGGATATCGCGTATGTCCTCGGACGGTGTTTTTTTTGGGCAGAGAATGTTTTGTGGAGGGAGGATTTGGGTTTAGATTCGGGTTTGGATTCGGAATCGGGTTCGGGTTCGGGTTTGGATTCGAATTCCGATTCGAGTTCGGGTTTGGATTCCGATTCGGGTAGCGTCAAATTCGCTATCCTTCTCTCAGGCAAAGACCAAATCATACCTGCCCCCCTAGTCCGACTTTACCTCACCCGCGAAGACGATGTGAAACCCAGATGGGAATCACAGTCACAGTCACATAATCGCAAATTAGAGGTGTTGTATTATCCTGACCTAGACCATGCCACGGTGTTCGATACGAAGGAGAGAAGGAGAGGGATGGTGGAGGTTTTGGGGAGGTTTAGTGTTAGATAGATTGGTTAGTTAGTTAGATTAGATTGGTTAGTTAGATAAGTAGATAGATAGATAGGTAGATAGTGTTTGGCGTGAATGTTATCGTACAGCCACTGTATTCTCGAAACATCTCCATTGTTCCACTACATACATAGTATATAATCTTTCTCCATAATCTCGTATTCCCATTCACCAGCACCCACCAACCCACCATGCAATCTCTCCTCCGATGGGGTATCGAAAACTCTACACCTCAGAACACCAACACCAACACCACCGCCACCAACAACACCGCCAACGCGCCACCCTCACGACGCCCAGACCTCAACCCCGAGATCATCGACCTGCTCCTCGGCAAGAGCGATGCAGTGCTAATGAAAGAAGCCATGGCTATCGCTGTAGACGAAGGCAACACCGAGGAAGACAGAGTGTCTGCGTTGGATAATTTGGAAATGGTTAGTCCGTTAGTGTGTTGTTTGTGTGTAGCGCGCGAGTACCCTGAGTTGTGTGACTGACGAGAATTTTTGTTGTTTGTTGTGTTTTGGTGGATAGCTCATCGAGCAAATCGATAACGCGAATAGTACGTTGTACCTATTTTTTTCTCTGCTTTTTTTCTTTTCACTCAAACTCCCTCCCCCCCTCCCCCCCTCCTCTCACTCTCTCACTTTCTCTCCGCCATCCTTATCCTTATCCTTATCCTTATCGTCGCAGATCTATCAAACCTCAAAATGTGGGAACCTCTCCACGCTCTCCTAACCTCTTCCCCCGACAGCGTCACGGTACAAGCGCTCTGGGTCATCGGAACGGCGCTGCAGAATAATCCTTCTGCGCAGGATGCAGTACGTTGTACCCTACAACTCATCTCGATATTTTTCGTGACTCATCTCTGTGAATTTCACAGTACCTCAAACTAAACCCCCTCCCAACACTCACCTCCTTCCTCTCCCCACCACCACCACCACAATCCACCACCCCCGATTCCAATTCCAATTCCCCATCCCCCAATTTCACACCCCCCAAATCCCCCAAATCCAAATCCAATTCCAAACCCCCACCCCCATCAAAACCCCTCCGCTCCAAAGCCATATACGCGCTCTCCGGTTTACTCAAACACAACGCTCCCGCGTTGCTCCAGTTAGACGTCAACGATGCACACGGGTGCGATGGCTGGGATAGACTATGTCTGGCTCTCCAAGGTTCGTCTCGTTCACTCCCTTAGTTTATTGATACCGTCACCCTTGATATAGTATTCATACAATACATTTCTTTCTTTGGGGTTATAGATCCAGATATCACAATCCGTCGAAAAACCCTCTTCCTGCTTAACGCTCTTCTTATCCCTTCCCCCGACCCATCCCCTTCCCCTTCCCCTTCCCTCGGAAACCTCCACACCCCCTCCCAAAACTCCCAAACCCAAAATCTCCACACCCCCGCCCCCGCTCCCGTCCACCCCATCCACCCCAACTCCCACTCCATCCACCTCTCCGACCCCGCCCGCGTCTCCACCTCCGCTCCCACATACCAAGCTCTCCACACACACGGGATCATCGATACCCTCATCGTGGGGCTCACGCGTTCCTTGCCGTATGGCGGGGACGGGGATACTGGGGATACTAAGGAAGAGGTGGATGGGGAGTTTGAGGAGATGGGTGTTGGGTGAGTGTTGTTTCTTCGTCTGTTTTTGTCTTTCTTTGTTGATATTGATATTGATGTGTACTTTCGGTAGTCTCCTCAACACCTACCTATCCCAACCCCACACCCAACCCCACACCCAACACCCCACCACCCCACTCACCCCATCCCAAAAAGCCCGTCTCCGGGAATGGATCTCCTCACTCACAAAAGACTCTTCCAGTAACGAAACGTCGGGGAATGGTGGTAATAAAAAGTTGGCCGAACGATGGGGTATGACCCTTGGAGAGGTCGAGGACTTCGTGAAATTGGTTGGGTAAAAGTTAAAAGAGGACTGTGTGAAATCGGTTGGTTGGGTAAAAACGTCGATTATCTCGAATTGTATGTAGTACACCATGTCACTAAGGCTATGTACTACCACATGGCACCGTCACCGTAGTACAGCTTTCTTCTCGAGGTGTCTAGGTAGACGTAGACGTAGACGTAAAGAGTGGGTATATCTACTACGTTCATATAGTATGCTAGTGTATAAAGCAGGTCTTCAGCCAGCAAAATCGCCTGATACTAGTAAAGGGATATATAAAACAGTCATGTATGTATGTAGTACAATCTACTATGTAGTACAAGGAGAACAAAGAAACACTGTTTAGTAGGGAAAACCACGTCCCTACTATAATCTATTACAACCCTACAGCCTACTAGTAGTGCAGTCTACACGCGTGCACGTGTATCTGCACCTACTATGTATCTGCACTGTGCCATGCTGTAGCCTGCCTGCCTGGCGTGGCTCTTGCTCTTGCTCTTGCTCTTGCCTCTCTCTTGCTGGAAAGTTGGGAAGCTAAGTTTGAACCTGGTGCTTCCGAGTCTCTGTGCTTCTCCTGCAACACGGCGAAAGCCAATTGCTTGAAAGCCCACACTAGTAGTCCTGTAACAACGAGTCGTGGATAAGTTCAGAGTCGTGATTCAGAGTGCGGCGCACCAATGACTCGGATCCTGGGTTTGATCCTAGTATCCTATCCTATCTTATCTTCAAGTTATCCTCTCTAAGTAAATCGGTATGATTATTGGTATACTATACAAGGATCATCAAGAACAATCAATCCCAACCCTCATCTCCTCTTCTCATCTTCCCTTCTTCTTTTAAAATCTTTTATTTCACCTTCAATATCCACCACCGACCTGAGCATCAACTGCAACTGCAGTATGTAGCACCCCCCTCCCCCCCAAAAAAATTTTTTTTTCTTTTTTTTGAAATACAGCCTAAAGCATCAAGGTCAGGAACCCAGGAACCCCTAGCTACTTAAAGAAAACCCCGGAGGGGGGGCGGTCAACAACATTCACCGTGCTTGGCTTTGCTTGGCTGTTGTTCATCATCATCAACGCTGAACATCTGAACGTCTGAACATGTCTGAACGAAGATTGACTCACGGAACCTAGGCTGCGACGTTGCTCGGATGCTCGGACGATCATGGGATCACCAAATGGAGTATGTATATCAGATATGTTCTGAGCATTTTTGTTTACTAGATAGACAGATAGATAGATAGATAGATATGTAGATAGATAATATGTACACGGTGGATTGGATTAGATTGGATTGGATTTTGGATTGAATTGAAGGGGAGTGATGATAACTGATAATATACAACTTGTAACAACAGGTAAAATGGTACAATACATACTGTACAACATATACAACCGAACATCCACATCCTTTTTTTTCATCTACTAGCTCGGGCACAAGTACATTGGGTTTGGATGAACCTCGAAGCAAAAAGGAAAAGAAAAAGGAAAAGGAAAAGGAAAGAAAATTAGTCCGAATCAGAAACGAAAGCGAAAAATGAAAAGGAATGAATAAAGATTGAGAAACCGAATAACAAACAACAACAGCAGCAGCAGCAGTAGCAACAGTAGCAATAACGCGAGGGAGGGGGGGAAAGTAAACAGTTTTGGTAGGGTTAAATCAAAAACAAGAATTAACGAAGAGGAAGTGCGGGTAGAGCGCCTCGGAGGGGGATGTATCCCGAGAGTCTCAAGAAGAAATAGGGAATAGGGAAGCAGAGAGAATCGAGTCAGGTACAATGAGCAAAAAATCGTCCGAGCGCGATCGTCTAAACCATGATAAGATCCACATGCAGCATGCAAACACTTCCAAAAAGGCAACAACAACAACCTACAACCTACATCCTACAACAACAACAACAACAACACTGCTCCCACAAGCCGTTCAAAAGAATCGTCTACAACGCTCTACCACGTCATAGCGCAGGCTATGCCAACGCAGCATCCATACTAATCATGCTGTCTTGGCTGCTATGTGACTGATTGCACGCGTGGCTGCATTGCGGTCCACAGCGACGTCCGAGTCGGGGTCGTCTCCGGAATCGCGATTGATCTTGCTGTCGGTGGTGTTGCTCATTCTCCATCGTGGGTCCACCAGGCACTGTAAGAAGAAGACTACGCAGCATCTTGGAGCCAAACTGCACCGAGTGAAAGAATGCTTGGAACCCTGCCTTCCACGACCGGACAAGGTCTTTTTGAGAGCCGAAAGTCACGACCGCTGCGACCGGTACTGTAAGATATAAGTGTAAAGTCAGTTCAAGGCACTCCCCCAGGGACGTTCAGGATGGATGGTTAATGGGTGATTGGGGTATGGGTTTTGAGATGTAGAATGAAAGGAAAGATGATTGAAAAGTTAAGAACAAGGGACGAAGTGGGAAAATGAATATTCAAAGGGAAAAAAAATAACACACGGAGTGATAGAGTTATCTCCAAGCCGAAACCATGAGAAGATCGTGGCGTGACGAAGAAAAGAAGGCCTAGCCTATTGGAAGGGCAAAATGAAAGAATCCCAGTTAGTACGATAACACTTGATGATAAGTAACACAATCCATACTCACACTGTAGCCACCACCGAGAACGTACTGAAGCACAGCACCCTCGTCACCGTCGCAAGCGGGACCTGAACGTCGCTGCGAACCGCATTCCAATTCTTGCGCAGGATAACACAAATCGTAATGCCTAGCGATACGCAGATGAGCATGATCACTGCTACGATTGCTGCTGATAGTTTTCCTCTGCGAATGAATTTGTGAGTACGATTGATGTGGAGGGAGATGAAAGAGGGAATCAGAAGAGCAAGACTCACGGAATGGGGTTCTCCATATTACAATAAAATCCTCCCGGCTCTCTTCGCACCGTTGCTCGATCTCGAAGGCCTATCACAAGGGACATCGCGAACATTCCTGCACCAGACAGGTATGGAATCGAAAGGAGCTGCATAGCACATAAGCAAAGATGTCTAGAATGACTTGGAAAAGCTTAAACCAGAAGGAGGCCACGTACGAGAAACGTCCACAACCTATGCAACGACGTATTGCCTCCATCGTTCGAAGTGATTGCTGTGGGGTTTATGTGAATTGCAGCAAGAGCGCGTACGCTAACCAGAACCTGAAAAAAAACGGAAAGAACGTGAAATCAAACGATTATCAGAACAAAGGAGGCCCAAACTCACTTGGATAACAAGTGCAAGGCTGGAGCAGGCAGTTCTGTGTATCCATTTGGCAGATTCGTGAGTGTGTTTATCTCGCCTCGGTTGAGAAGAGAGGGAAACGTACAAGGTCGGAACAGTGTAGATGAGAGCAGCCTGTGTCAGGCACAGGGGATATTCAGGTCGCCAATCTATTGGTGCGCCCGCCAGAAGACTGCCAGGGGTTTGACCGGTAAGTAAACAATATTCAAGCTCGAGCGTCATATAAAACATAATCACATACCTGTAAGATACACAGGAGACAATCCACGAAAACACAAAGCTAAACCAGCTCCAATGGCGTTTTCGGACTAGTTTGGAGATACAGGCAGTGAATAGTATGAGGATTGACCCGACAAGACCTATGAGCTGGAAAACAATGAAGAGAATGAACAGAGCACTGCTGGCAGAGGGGGCCGTATTGTTATTTCCATCCACAGAGCCTGATCCTATGAGGTCCGTACGATTGGATGCCGCATCCGTCATCGTCGAAATCGAGTCGTCTGATCCTGGTTCCGGAATTCGAACTGAGTTATGTACGAGGAATATGAGAGATGTGACTCACGAAAACTATACAAAGAGGACATAACGTCGAGCAATGGGTTGAAGTCGTGGAAGTGATAGATTGCGGCGAACAAAGTGATGACAGGAACCAAAATCCGTCTTCCAATGCTCAGGAGTCAGAGGACGGCAATGAACAATTTGACCATGAACCTTATCGACAGCAGAGCAACTGGATATTAGGATATTAAGTACCCCGGATAATACAGCATGATACTTATACTCTAGCACTCACATCTCATTTGCCCTTTTGAGCGCGGAATCAAAGTACCGATGCGGTGCTGTGTAGTAACGTTTTCGTCCCAGAATGAAATCAATGGATTACTGAATGCTAAAGCGCTGAGGGAATGACGGCCTCTCCGAAGACGGCCATCTTGATTGACTGAAAAGTTGAACGTTGAACGTAGATTCTTCGTTGCGTACGTTGATCAGCACTTCTATGTACATCGGCGTTGCTCACAGCGATCCACTTTGACAGATGTGTGAGTCGTGTGAGAACTCATGGCTGTAGAAGTGGGTCCTATTTCCACGGATTTCCCTAATATGGTTATGAGTTTTGTTGACTAGGTCTTCAAGTCTGAAAGCACCTTCATTATGAAACCAGATGCAGGTATCAGTGCTGTAATGTGTTGAACATATCGATACGGCAAGGAGAGACCCACGAAAACAAGAATGCGGAGGATAGATGCCCGAACGTTCATCGGATTGTGCATAAAAGTGAACTCCGGAAAAACATTGACCGTCCAGGGCGCAAGATTTGGAATTCTTGGAATCCAGAGCTATCAACGTACCAAAGTTCAACATCTTCATTATCCAATACTATCGAATAGCGCTTACTGTCATACCAGCTTCCATCTTTCATGAGGAGAACCAGATATCCACATAAGTTCAGCTCACATATGGTACATATGGTAGAGAAGCACAACGAGATTTTACCGCCACCTCAGCTCTGAACACCTGTAAGTTATGAAAGTATTATTATTATTATCCGGCATGAAGCCTTACACGGTGTGGTCCCTTTCTACGATCCAGATTCGCTTTGAAACCCAATCAAGCTGACGGTTATGAGCGTGAAATACTGGAAGATGGAACAGGGAGGGGAAGAACCCGTGGGACATTAGGTCTATCGAGTCTACGTCCCTGTACCTTTCAAGCGCCTCCCAATTTTCCCAGCTTTCCAGAGCTTTCCCCGTTCTCGAATTCAATAAGGAACCGTTACACCTTCAGGCTTCATGTTCTAATCACAACTGCCAAACAAATCACGATATCTTCAACAATTTCCCAGAGCGCCCGTCAATTAAATCTCTATAATCTGCAGAACAACCTTAACGATACTGGTAGCCAAAGGATGAAGACGAGACTCCTTTTTGGTTGAAGCTGCAATTGTTGAGGTTGAGGCACTATCTAGATTCAAACCTGACAAAATTCAGTGAGCACAATCTCTGACTCGTTTAGAGTGTAATTTGCTCATGATCATATTCTACAGTTCGGACTCGTATACCGCCTTTCTTGATTGGCAGGAATTGCTGTACTAGCTGTGTCTAAAGCGAGTCTCTCATTCTTGCAAGACGAGGCTTGATCTGGATTCACAAATGGCGTCCACCTCCATGTTTCTTCCAAATCATGCGCGACGTTCGGTTATTCCCACTTCATATACATATTTGACCGAGAACGTTCTGCAGTGTGCACATACAGAACGCCTGTCCCGCAAAATGTCAATGCCCTACTCAGCCCGTCTGCTCCAGTGTCTATCAGAATCTTTCTTTTTCTATGGTTGTATCCAGGTGGCATCTATAGCCTCAATGAACCAGCATTCTTCCTAGGGTTTCCACAGGGTTTCCGACTATGCCATATACATATCACTGCGCTGAATTTTCCAATACAGTTCTCACCAATTCCGAGGAACAGCTGGAGCATCTGCATCAAGGTCACAAGGTCTTCACTTCAAGACGAGAAAGCAAAAGAAGTGAAGATGAGAATAAAGAGAAAACATGCTGGTTGAACCTGTATATCACACCCGCAGAAGAGGTTACTACCACTATATATACCTATTATATTTTTAGTCTGTACAATATGGGTTCCCAAACATAAGACACTCAATATGCCAAGCCAGCACCAGCTGCTTTTCGAGGATCATTAGCCGCCTCAATTGTACCATTTGGTTGACGGATAACAACTAAAAATGAAGAAATACAGAATGAACCATTGAGTGATCAAAGTGCGGGCAATGCTCTAACCAAACACATACCATGCGCCGTGGACCTCTCCGTACTTATGTACGAAATATTATACCCAATCTTTCTAAAATACGCCATAGTGGCATCATCATACCCAGCGATCCCAACTGTCTCCGAATCATACTCGAAATACGTATTACCGTCAAGTTGATCATGCCAACGAGGGTGGTGGACGCAGGAGGAAGAGTTGAGGCCTTGATCGATGTGATGGTGGAGGTGTTGGAGAGTTGCAGTAATGACTACGCGCTATAAATGAATTTGAAAACGGACGTTGAAATAAGTAGCGTACTTCTGCTTCCACCTGCACTCCCGGTCGCGATAATTATATCCCCAGTCTCCAAGTCCTCTGCAATCGTGGAAGAGATGGAAGACTGTGGACGTTTTCTGCCAGCCTAAACTTCGAAGATGAGGGGGAAATGAGTATTCAGATGCAAAATGACACGCACGATATAATTAGCGGGTGAAGCGCTGAATCCGAAGTCATCAAGTAATCCGGGGGAGGAAAAATCACCCATCTCATCGTTGAGAATGACTCCATCGGCGGTCATTAATTGCGAGCCCCAGTAGTTGTTGCTGACCAGTAAATGATGTATAAATAAGCGTGTCTCTATCACAGAAGGAGCTCACATTGTAGTGGTCAACGAAACTGCCATTCCATTTTTATCAATCACTGCCATATGCGAAGTACCATTATCAATGACAACCTGATAATTTTCTGGGTTATAGTATGTCACAGGAAACGTCTTGTTATCGACAATCTTGTTCCGGGTTTGATTCACGACAGACTCGGTGAGGAAATACGCTTCGAGTTGAGAGACGTTTGAGGTAAAAGCGGGGTCACCGTATTCCGTTCTCTGCCCATATGCAAATCGAGTGGCTTCGATGAGTCGATGCGTATTGAGATGTATAGAGGGACCGCTATGAATGTGAGTTAGAATGACGAAGAAAAACTCTGAAAATCGCGATACGGACCTGTGCGAAATATTGCCACCTAACCCCTCAAATATCTTTAGCGCACTAAGCACTACAGCGCCACTGGACGGAGCTACAGTAGAAAAAATTCTGGTATTACGGTACGTGATATTTTGAGGTTGTCGGACGACTGCAGTATAGCTAGCCAAATCATCGAGAGTCATGATTCCGTTGTTCTGACGTAGAGTCGAAATAGTGTTAAGAGCAATGTCGCCCGTGTAGAACGCATCAACGCCGTATTTAGCAATTTTTTCCAAGGTTTCGGCAAACCTCTATACCATGCGTTCGTCGTTGGTATAAGAAACGAAACGAAGGCGCGATTTTGCTCATACCTTGCGATAGCAGATATCTCCTTGGACAAGAACAGTACCGTTGGGAGCGTATGTCTCGGCCCAAACAGCATTTTGCATGATGAAATCCTGTCCGTGCATGGCAGCAGCGAGGTCAACATCCACTTCGAATCCGTTGCGCGCCAAGTGCACAGCAGGCATAACGAGATCTTGCCAAGGCATGGATCCATGCCTAGTCGATGAGAGGGTATCAATATCGGTAGGTCCTTCGACCAAGTCGCTCACCGTTGATGAAGCATTTCCCAGCCGCGCAAATCTCCAGGAACGCCGACCGATAGACCGCCAACGACGGAAACCTTTGCATCAGTGGAGTTGACAAACATGTACTTATGAGCATCAGCAGGACTAGTTTCTCTAAAGTCAATCATCTCGTAGTCGTGACTGCCATCATCCTTGTTGAATCTAACCAACATGAATCCGCCTCCACCGATGCCCTGTAAGGATAGCAGAATCAATGAAAAAATTATGGGACATCGACGCGCACAAAGGAACATACCGAGTGGTAAGCAGATATAACTCCAACACAAAGGCCTGATGCAATGATCTGGCAAGAACAAATATCAGTCAAGCAGAGATGGACCTGGAAAACTTGCGAACTTGCCGCGTCAGCTGCATTACCTCCTTGCTGGAGGACATCAAGTCCAATCTTCGTACACGGAGCTACGCGGCATGATAGCTCATGAGCACGGTGCGTTATAACCATACAGACTCAACGAACCAGCTTCGGTTGCAACACCTCCGTGAGGCGCTGCCTCCTGCAAGAAGACCTGGTCGCTAGTGTGAATTGCCGCAGCCCGACTAACAGGCAAGATAGTACCAGCAGCGAGGAGGAGGAAAGACACAATGAGCCTGAGCTGGCCAGCAAACATCTTTCATGTAAAAGATGCGTAGTGCAGAGTGTATTCCCAATGTTGTCTTCTTTATATAGATCTTAGGCGTAAGCTGACGCCTTCACCTGCATCGAATGAGCATTGATGGCTAGCGCGAAATGATAATGGACGCCTTGAGGCTAGTTATTTCGTTCACAAACCCTCAATCGGTTGCATTACTTCATAGAGACAACGCGAACGAATGTCTTCCTGTGTTCGAGAAATAGATTTTGAGAGCCTCCGTGTTCTTGGAAATACTAAAATATTTGATCAAAGGAGATCAAAGGTTTAGTTAATACCATAATTCCTCTGTTGCTGTAGGTCGATGCCAAAGGGGAAGAGCCGAAGTCCGGGTGGCTTCCATGATAAACGGGAAAGTCCAATCCTTGAAAAGCTCCGGAATCATGTAAAGCCAAGGCGCAATATTCTTGAGGATTTGTGAGCTTTTGCGCCATTGAGAATCATCGGGTAAAAGCAGAGAACAGAAGGAAAGGCCAAGAGATCGGGTAACTGTCGGGTGTTCGGATTTATGATTAGCTAATCAAAAAATTCTCCCATCTACATATGATCTTGGACTTTGACTTACACATCTGCAGGCCACGAGCACCAGACGACTCGGAGTGAACACCTCCATTGACTAGCAGAACTATACCAACATCCCGCAAACGTTTGGGATTTCTCTCCCGAGATCATTGTGTGATGACTTCCTAGACGCGCGTTTGCACGTTACAGCACATTACTCAAGAATAGGGAACGCGCAGCGGTAGAGCTCGCTCCAAAGCGCTCCAATTGTATAACGCGATTCGCATCACATGCCACGGATACTTTTCGCCATGTATTGTCGTCTGTATTTTGCCAAACTTACTGGCCCGTCTACAGTTCTCATTTGCATCTACACCTATTCTCGATCGACATTATCTTTCCGTCTCTTTCCGTGGTGACAAGCAATTTAGCTGAATTGATCAGTCTTACTTCGCTTTATGTTTCCTACTATTCCCCCTGCATCTTCATAATTGGAGTAATCATGCTCGAAATTTCGCAGCGAATTGCTAATATCATCGTTCCGTGGTATATGGACCTTGTTATCGCTGTCTCATTCGAGCTTATCGTCCCAGTTGTTGTTATATTCTGAGAATCAACTGAACCTTAAGGGCCACGGGCCACATCCAAAGCAAAAATGGAGCGTGAAGTCAGGTCAGTCAGGTCAGTAAGTTTGACTTAGAACTGTATCAATCAGAACAGCAACTCACAAAGTCCTTGGCTTTATCCAATTTCCGCGAACTCTGGATTTACTTCCATCACCCAAACTTCATGTTTTTGTTTTCCACTAGTGTCGTCATGAAAATTTGTGCGGAACCGGAGGGGTGGGACTCGCAATGTTTCAATGACCGGTCTATGTGTAATTATAAGTAGCGATGACCGTCGATGGTACAATACTACGTGATTCTACAAAAAATATTTGAATTCAAACTTTCTCTGAACAACGTTAAGGACCTGGCAATGTGGAGTGGCTATTTCACCAGAGCATCCATGACCTACAATTGCTAACAGAAACAAATTCAGGAACTGAACAGGTTGGTACTCACAGCAACGTAGAAAATTCTGAAACAAGCCAAAGAGTGAAGTGATTGTTAGCAAGAAAGAGAAGGCAAGGACAAAACTCGGTCTTCGTACTTCGAGAGGCTGGTGGTCCGGTGGTCAAAGCTGTTCACTGCGCCTACGCATGCTTCCAGAATATAAATGAGCCTCCTGAGGCATATGTGAATGTCGAATCAAAGAATTCGGACAATCCCCCCTATATGTAGTACATCCGATCATACCCCAACCCAAGATAGACTAGGGCTTCCTTGTATGAAGGACAAGTCCATGTTTTACATCGGACACAATAACCTACATATAATCATCATCCCATCCTACAACCTCCCCTTCCACTTCACCTCCACCCCCCTCAGGCATGTATACACCACCCCTGCAAACACAAACGCCAACTCAAACCCAATATCACCCGTTTTCTCCGCAATCGGCCCTGTGAACCAAATCTGCGCCATAGAGGGAACGACGAGACCAAAACAGATAATTCCAGCTGCGATTGCGCTGATACCGGATGGAAGTAACGAAGGAGCATTCCAGTGCGTTGGGGGGTAGAACCTGGCCCAATCAGTGAGGGGTTCATTTTGGTTGTCGGTGTTGGTATGTGAGGGGTTTTGGGAGGAGTAACGTCTCCGAAAGACAAAGTGTTCGACGAGGAGAATGGCAATGAAGGCCGAGCACCAGTAACCAATTAGTCCGAGAAAATCCTCGAGCGTGTCATAGAATGTATGTGAGCCGACGATTGCTAATGGGAGGACACTTGTCATAGCAGGAGATTAGCGGTTTTTCGTCGATTTCAGGTAGCTCTGCTTCATATGGTTTGGTAGGAGCACTCACATAGCAGTAATAACCACTGAAAACACATATCTCGGCACCACGATCAACACCGGCATCGCTAACTGGATGTTAAATCCTATCGAATAAAACGTAGCCGCGATATTCCCTGCCACGCTTAAACTCAATAGCACCGTCAGGAAATCACCAAAGCGTCCGGCGGGGGAAAGGATAGATTGGAGAAGTCCGCCAACCGATGAGGAGGAATAAGATTGGGCCCAGGTGGCTGGAACGGAGGATGGGGGCAAAGTAGGAGAGAGCGCGACAGCAGAGAACGCTGCACCTAAGCATTGAACGGATACAACCGGGATAAAGAGACCCAGGTATGTGTATAGGAGGATTTTAGTACTGTACATTCCAGGATCCATCGTCACTGGAGCTCATTTTGATTTCTAATACCATATAACGCACCTCGACACACTCGGCTTGAAATAAATGGTGAAATCCGACGCCAGAGGTGAATATGTTATTACGAACCCCGCTATGGTCGACGCGAAGGATAGTATTGTCGGTGCGGTCGCTGTGCTGGCTGGGGCAGAGGCGGGGATGTCGTTGAGGTATTTTCCGCCGAGACCGAGGGCAACGAGGTAAACGACAAGGACGGGGAACCAGGCGATGCGTTCATACCTGGAGACAAGGATATAAGTGGTAAAGACACGATGAGGAAAAGAGAAAGAAAAGTTAGATGCTTCTTACCAAGTGAGTATCGAGTACCCGCAGAACGATAACTGTAAGGAGCTATGTTAGCTCCTTAGGATCCGGTTCGTACTTTGAGCTTTGACTCACAGCTAGGGAAATAATCACGACGATTACGATACCTGCACTACGCACATAAGCCATCCGTCATACAAGTGCGAATTGCGATAAATGACTTACTTCCAAGTAAGATTCCCGTCAGCCACACTGGCAAGTGTTTGTCCACCTAGAATAGCATTTAAGATACAAAAACCAGTCATCACGATGAGGTTGAGGATGCAGACGAGGATGACACCGTAATATCTGTATCGGAGTATTAGGACTACTCTGTGGTTAATCAGGTACTATATAAAGCGTCCACTCATCCCAAACGATTGATGATCCCGTACGATCTATACATACCTAGAGAAAATGGACGACTCACCCAAAAGAGAACCTCGCCTGCACCATCTGTCTCATTCCCAATTTCGGACCCCATGTTGCAAAATATGCCGGAGGCGCACAACACAGTGCATTGAAAAACAAGATCACCAGACATGATTCCCTGATCCCCAACCCATACGCCACAGGACCGAGAGTCCCAGCAGAGAAGGATAGTATGTTAAAATTCATCGTGAACCATATGAAGAAGAGTTTGTAGTAGGAAGTATCGGTTCTTTGGGAAGATGGGACGGGGGATATGCCTATCCAAGATATTGATTAATATTTGGCCAATAAAGAAGAGCTTGCCAGACGAACCTCTACTTTCGACACCCCAGCTCAGTAGACGCTTCGTGAAAGAGTTGGACGAATACGTCGAGGGAAGTGCCGATATTTCCTCCCAGGGGGTGACACCCGTCAAAATCCGAAAGATATCAATGTCCGTTGGTGTCTGTTTGTTCACCATCTAAGCGCTGGAGTTGCCGCACCTACCGCTGAATTAGAAATTATCATCGATTTACAGAGGTTCATCGAGTGCTTATCTCGTTCTTATACCATTGTCAATGCTCTCGGTTTCCATGCGCTAGAAGGCCGAGATGCTTCTTTATGTGGCGGATTCCTAAAGATGCAACAATGGATTTTCGGGATGCAGATGGCATACCAATATCTGATGATCTCCAACTACAGATAGATGAATTATCAAGGAAGCGAGGGCTTTCTAATGCTGACACTACAGAGCATATAACTAAACGTAGATAAATTTTAAAATACAACGATTCTGAGGGTTGCATTGAACGCATTGAAACTTTGAACTTTGAAGGCTCAAGGTACGCACGGCATCAATCGGCAGGTGCGGCAACTCCAGCGCTTAGATGGTGAACAAACAGACACCAACGGACATTGATATCTTTCGGATTTTGACGGGTGTCACCCCCTGTTTCCTCCCCTCTTTGGCCAAGATCTATACTTCCCCGTTTCTCAACGTCGCTCTTATGTTCCTCTATCTTCTGACCGGACATTGTTCCTCGCAGAATTTTGAGTGAATGGAAGGGAACAAAAGAGAATTCGGAGGAATCGGAGGAAGGGACTGTCAGAATCTAAAAGCAGAAGCCGAGAGAGAAAACCCCGATGAGGCTTTCAAAGGATCTGGCCCGATAATGAAATTTTCTCGAGTCATAATGTAGAACATGATGTAGTCTATGAAGATGTTGAGTCGTTGAGTCGTTGAGTCGCCCCAAGCCTCCAATAAATTCAGTCGAACCATTTGGCCCTCAAGCGAGCTCGGCGAAAGTACTGTACCAAAGTATAATTTAGCGCCGATTTCTCGCCATCTTTAATTGACGCGATTTTTGACCTACTCAATGCCCAACCACCCCATACAAATCTTGAAAACGTAGTTTGGATATGCACTGTTATGTTTCCTATACAACTTTTGTGATGCCATGTACTTATTGAAAGTGCATATTGTAAGAAATTGTACCTAAACTCACTATTCTGTCCATAAATATCCTTGTACACTCTCATGAAATGAAGGCAAGTCAGCCTGAGGCAATCCAGTACCTCGATATGAGGCCCTTTCCCATTCCTACAGTAATCCTTGAGTGAATCAGGTGGTACCCAGTGTACACATGTTGGACTATACTGAGCTATACTGTATATACCTACATGAACTTACTTCTTGTTTCGAAGCCCAGTGGCCTCATTGTGAGGATTGAAAGCACATCTGCAAAACCTGTTTTTTCGGCTATTTCTCTGAGAGCAGCTGAGAGCGCTTCCCAGCAGCCAAAGCACCTAGAGCAAGCTGAAATTTTTGCTCTCGGTGCTTTGGGTGCTGGAGAGTGCTCTCCAGCTAGTACCCTTGCTGTAAGACCTGGGTCAAAATAGGTCTTAGGGTAGGTTTTGGTATATGGAGGTTTTGTTGGCGCAAGATTAAGCTCAGTTGATATAAAAGCAACTGTATTGTTTCTACCTGTTGGCATAAGATTAAGCTAACATGTATATCAGTAAGTGTATATCCTAACGTACTAACGAGCTCACCTCAGTTGATATAAAAGCAACTGAGGGAGCTCGTGTACTCCACCTGCGTGATCTACTTATAACTGTACAGTATCTAGTAATCTTAAGCCGTATTAGAAACTACATTACTGGAATGGGATTTCGTCCGCAATGGGATGGTCAAAGCTGTACGTACGGAGTTCGCCTCAACAGGTTTATGTTGTAGCGTGCTAGGAGCAGGCTGGAGCTTGAAGGGAGCTACGAGAACCGCGACCGAGGACGGGAATGACCTAATAGTGGTTGGAACGACGAGATGATGACCCTTGAGGGGGTTCCTACGAGGTCCAGGGAGGTCCCTAAGGCGTAGGGAGGTTAGGGAAGAGTGCAGGACTGTACGATATTGTGTAGTAGGAGTTGTACTCACTAGAACGTCAATATAGGATCGAGTAGGTCGTAGATGTAAATGGGTCTCGAGGGTGTAAGCTCCCGAGAAGGGATATGCCAGGGAGGGTAGGTCCCTGGGGGATGGGCTTGAGGATGGACGTCCTTGAGTGTGGGAGGTGGTAACGGAGAAGCGGTACATAGTTCGACGTGAGGGGTAGCTTCGACGTTACCTAGATCGAGGTCCCGAAGCTTACGAAGTAGCTAGGGAGCTCTGGCAGGTTTGGGGTAGGGTAGCTCACCAAAGCGTGTAGGCGTTGGGGAGCTTTAGTAATGTTCGAGGGAGCTTGGGGACTCACTCGGAAGGCTTAGACTTGAAGTAAAAGTGTATATTTGATCGTATAGACGATCAGAGAGACAATAGACGAGAGTAAAGAGAAACAGAGGTAGAGAAACAGAGAGTAAAGAGAAATCCGTATGGTTAGCAGGTACAAAGGGACAGGGACTGGACCTATGCAAAAGGGTGTGTGTTCAAAATATACCAAGCTGGGGCTTCAGGACATTGCGGCGTTACTTAAATAGGTACGGGAAGTGAACAAGAGAACATCTGGAGACATGAGGCAGCTAATCGGAGGGAGGAAGGTAATCGAGATTAATACTTAAAGGGGTTGTCGGCTAGGAGGGTTTTCGTATGCGTGTCGGGGTGAAGGACGTTTGGGTAGTTGCGTCAGGAATACTTGGGGAGGTGTCTGATGGTACTTGGGGAGGTGCAGAGGAAATACAGGAGGTGGGTAGGACGTATGGCAACGTGTGGCGGGTACTGGGATTGGTCTGGTTGTAGCCAGGGCATGACAGATTTCACTTTTCCCAAAGTAATCAATTCATATACAAGAATCCCGAGCCATCTAAAATGGAGTGAGTAGTATTCTAGAGATGCAACTATGGTTTTGAATACAGGAACAGGAAATGTCCAAGTCACAACTCGAAGAGCTGCTTTATTGTCACTTGTACTGCATACCCTATGACCAAAGGAAAGGCACTGCCCGAGCAGCTTTGCTGGACTGTTCTTTGACTTTCCGAGCTACATAATCCACTAGAGATCCAAGGATTCACTCAAGTCAGTCTTCGTCAACAAAGTCGTATCCTTCATCGATGGAAAACCACTGGGAGTGTTATTCCACCAAAGGCAGCAATTGAATTGAGAGGAAGGCCGAGACATTTATCTGTGGAGGAAGCTTTTGTGCGTACATTGGCTGCATGTTATCAATCCTGGCTCTAACCAGTGTCTCCCGTAGTTCATTCAAGGATGTATTGGTCAGGAATGTCATGCATACCTGGATGAGATGAAGGACTTGCTCGAAGCATTGACTGGGACCAATGTCTCTCTTGTCACCATCTGGAGAACTCTTCAACGCAGTGGATATAGGATGAAAAAGGCTTGTCTCTACCTTGACTGCATATCCTTGTACTTATCTTTGTCCTTCTTTGTTGTAGCTAACACGAAAAGCCATCGAGAGGAGTGCAATCAAGCGGGCCAAATACATTGCACTTATTGGACTACGTTACACTTCAGAGCAGATAGTTTTTGTAGATGAGAGTTCTGCTGATAGAAGAACCACTTATCGAGGCTATGCATGGGCAATAGGTGGACAGTGTGCTACTTGCAGTGCATTTTTTGTGTGCGGTCGGCGGTGAGTCTTTCCTGTATTTGAAGTATGTCTCTTGCTAACGTGAATAGCTCTAGATACTCCATCTTACCAGCTCTATGTAGTACTGGAATTCTCACTGTTGATATTGTTGAAGGCTCATACAACAACTTGCGATTCCGAAAATTTATTGACGGACTCCTCAGCCAAATGAATCCATGGCCTCAATCAAACTCAGTGATTGTGATGGATAATTGTCGTATCCACAAAAATGAAGAGGTTCTTGATATGATAAAAGCTCGGTCAGTCTATTGATTCATTTGACACCCGTACCGAATCTCATTCACATTCAGTGGGATGCGCTATGTGTTCTTGCCACCCTATTCTCCAGATTACAACCCTATTGAACTTGCTTTTTCTGCCATTAAGGCTTACATTCGACGCCATGGAGGTATTGCATGTGCGGCTATGTCGGAAAAAGATGATCTCGATGTTTACTTACTACTCAATGAAGCTGTTTGGTCTGTAACTGAAGCAGATACACAAGGATGGTTTGCACATTGTGGCTACTAGTTGTAATAGTCCTAATGTATCAATATTATCAGTAATAATGCCGAGGCATTTTTTCCATCTCCCGGAGACGTTGCTTTTCCTTTTTCCTAATGACCTTACATTCTCTCGCTGCACACTTGACAACCTTCTTTGCTGTGCCTCTTGCCATACCTCCACATATTTCCAGAAGCTCATTCAGGGTAAGTCCATCAAGGTCAGAGATACGCATATACTTTTCTCGAAGGAAATCAGGTGAAAATGATGCAAAGTCATGGTTATCGAGACCATGAGGGCTATTGTCCAGATCAGCTAGCCATTGCTCTAACCGGGGAAAGAGAGTTACATCCTCCGTCGACTCTATGGGATCGGAGCTTGGCATCTCGTCACGCCCTAAATGACTACGGTGTTTGAATGGCGATGCTGGGGGCTGCATAAATCCAGGTGCACCATATGCTGCATATCCATAGTGCATCAGTGAGTGGTAGGGATACCCAGGTGGTATGGAAGCTGTAGTTGGAGCTGGAGCTGCGGGTTTCCTTTTGCTGGCAAAATCAAGTTTCAACTTTGGTGGGGGGGTGGTTGTCGATGTCCATCCAGCAACCTAAGGTATTCAATTATATCAGATGTATGCAGAGTCAATCAGAAGCGAACAACGTCACATTCATCAGAGCCCATGTCGCGATGTCAGCAGACTTTAGCTGTGGGTGAGATGTGATACTTTTGAGGCAAATGCGGTTGTGATCTGGACAATGATTATCTTCGCTAATCTTGGCTATCCATTGCACCTGGCTCAAGACCTTTGTCTTCATCCCTTCTTCTTCCTCCTCTTCAGAACTATCGGAACGTTTGCGCTGTGAATGCCGAAGATTGAAAATCACCATCCATGCTCAATGATAGCTCTGTACACACCTTTTTCAATGTCTTTACTTTGCCTTTTCCATCCTTATCCTTTCCAGGCTTCTCTGACTGTTCACCTGTACGCTTCAGCACCACAATGAATTTCTTCTTAGTCTTGACTCTGCTTTTTGCATAGGCCTTCTGAGCAACCTTGGCATCTTTGATAAGTTCTCGAAGTTGAGCTTCATTCCGAACATGATTGAACAAGCAGTCACTTTGGGGTGTAGTACTGAAACGATAGGCAACCCGGACCTGTCTGGGGGCAATGCCCAGTGTGTTGGCAACGGCATACTCGAAATCAGCCCATGAAATGGGCGTGGTGAACTCTTCATTTGCATCATCAACTGGAACCGAGAATATGAATGCTATAGAATCCGCCAAATAGTTGAGTACTAATGCATGTGAAACAGGCAAAGCACTCACTTTGTTTCTCAACGACTTCAGTCTTGTCCTTTCTGCTAATCCTAATCTTCAGAGGGGATGCTGTGATCGTTGTCCTTCCAGAGAGTAGTTCATTGTCGTCACTTTCTTGTTCTTCTATTTCCTCCTCTCCTTCATCTTCTGTCTCACTATCTTCATCCTCTATTCCTGCAGTATCGAGCAGATATTTTCTTCTCCCTAGCTGAACCTGGGTGGGTTCAAATCCACGAGTCGCAGAGGACAATTCGGAATCGGAATCATTGCTGACTGAAATTACTCGCGTGTTTTCATTGTCACTTGGCGTGTCCCGTGTACGATCATTCATGAAATCCAGAGACTTTTTACTGAAACCCATGAGGCGGTAAGCAGCTTGGAACTCAGCTCTTGTTGGTTTTGGTACTTTGGGTGGTGGTGTAGTTTCAAGACTGGGCTGTTGTCTTGTTGGTGTTGGTATGATTTCGGGACTTGGCTGAGGACGAACATGAGCTTTCGTAGGTGTATGCTGTGCTGTCTGGCTCAATGCAGCTGTAGAATGCTCAATCTCACTTCGACTTGAGTCAAAATTTAAATCTCTGACTTACCTGATTTCTTTTTACCCTTTCGTTTGTCTTTTTGAGCAGGTTTTCATGTAGTGTTGCGCACATTGACCATTTGTTTGGAAAAGATCGGAATGAAGAGAGCCGGAATAAGTTTTCCGGTTCAATGCTCTCTGTCTCCTAACACTCCCCTGCTAATTTTCACTCTCTTCAAATTGCTGAAAAAACCTCAAAAAAGCTTGAATTACTGCTGAGCATCTGCATTTACATGAGCAGAATACAAGACAGGTTACAATAAGTCAATAAGTATTATATTTACTGAGATATGGATGAAATCTGTTCAGAGGTCAGACATGCACAAAAACATCGTGAGAGCAAAAATTCGAGTTTTGCCAACTTTTTTGAAAACAGGAATAAGGTATATCTCAGTTAGCTGTAAAGTAACTGAATTGGCATGTGTACCTGTATATCTACTATAAGTTAGTTCAGTGGTGTAAGATTCTACTGCAGGCTCACCTCAGTTAGCTGTAAAGTAACTGAGGGACCTGCATACACTTTGTCATGACCTATGCTACCTACTGTACAGTATAAGATAATAATGCCGTCTCTTGGGATGTTCAGGCTTACATGTAATGGTACGTATGGAGTATGTCCATCAGCAAGTTCCGATCCGTGTAATCAGTATAATTCTATACACTTTATACCAATTTATACACTTTTGGGCTGGTATAATTTAAAATGAGGACACATACGGAGAATGTAAGATTATGCTAAAATATACAATATTTATACTAAGGTGTAAATCGGAAATCTAGTGCTTTATGACAAGTTTTACCATTTTATACCTGCTCTATGCGCAGCATTATGATGAATTATACTGACCATTACATCTGCTTATACTGTCTTCATTGTCATCATTATTGCTCAGCACACAATAGAAAAAATGGTCATAAAATCAAATCATTATTGAGCAATACAATGACATCGGCATTAACTAGACTACATTCTACATGAACTACAGGTACACATGTCAATCCCTCACCAAATGAACTCTGCAAAGAATATCTGAACAAGAGTTAATGAAAGGAAAAGCAAGAAGGAAGGAAATTGTCTTACCCTAATAAATAATGCCAACCTGAACACCTATAAGAAAGAACAGAATGACAATTGAGTAATGAAAAGCAAAGAATAATGTATCCATAACATACCTCATGTTCATGTTCCTACTGCCAGCAAATTTCTAATGCGAAACCAGGAATTTCTCGGGGTGAATTGGGAAAAAGGTATGTTAAATGTAAGAGTGAAAAGTGGTCATACCTCATATGTAAGTCACATGAAGCTGTACAGTTTCCCAAGCCACTTCACGTGCCTTTTACTGTAGGGCTGGCTTTCTTGACTTCTGATTTTTAGTTTCTTCAGCTGTTGTTGGAGTGGGTGACTCCGAATTGGAATCATATGCATGGACATCAACATTATGAGCTCAAGTACTCATTGATCTCTGCAAGATAAAAAGAGAAAGGTAAAGCAACCATTATGGGCATCCTGGGACATGGTGTATAGCTAATGCATAATAGAGTATAATGAAGGTATAATCCAGTTGTATAATCTGTGTATAATTGTTGCATAACAGAGGTATAAGAATTTAATGCCAAGATATAAATTTGTGAAAATTTGATCCGTATATGTGATGTATAATTCCCGCTACCTTTAGGTAGTGGGTTTTGCTGCATTTGCACATCAGGAACTGCATTTTTTGGACTGTTTTAACATCATACTAGCATTCGTAATATATCGTTACTTTAACGCCCTTATGTAATGCTTGTAATCCTCTTTTGCGGCACTCCTTTTCTTTCAGATCCTTTCCACTATGATAATGTATGTCACCTTCCCTCACTGCGGGTTGAGCTTGCTGTTGTTGTCTTACCATAACCGGCTGTTCCGAGACGGTGCCGTGTATTAATCTATCTATCTATGTCCGTGACTGTCCAAGGACACCCCTGCGTTGCTTTCAAAGATTCCTCTTCCTACTATTCTGTGCTTGCTCGTGGATACGTTCGCTCTAATGGCCTCAGTGACTCTTGACAGATGCTTTCGTTGCTCATTGGCATACTTTCATCCATGCCGTGGGTTGTTTTTTCACCGGGGATGAGCAAATAAGGGAATTCCAAGATCTTATGGTGGGTTTACAACTTCTGCCTCGGAGCACTTTTATAGTCCAATGCAGAAAGCAACCAGACTGCTTGTCTCGGGAGAGGCTGCTCTCAACTTTTTTGTTCATGCAACTACAGCCACGGATTTGCATGCCTTAAGCAATATTTTGCAGTGTTTTATCATTGGAGATTGGCTGTTGACACATGGATACTTTTTCGTGCCCAAAGATTTCCAGTTGGATTCCTTCCAGGATGACATTGCTCGCTTCCAAGGTATAGATGTGATAGATACGACTCCAGTTTAATATGAAGACAATGAGGAGATCAGGGATCTTCACAGGGAGTGTATTGTCCGTACTTGGTTGTTCAGGAAAGGCCCAATGACGATTAAGCTGTCAGCTACAAGGGGGCCACCAATTGAAGGCATTTTCTCTTACCATTTAAGTTGAGTGATTCGCAAGTACTGTAACTATATTCTGATGTGAACTTTCTGATTACAGCCGGTGAAATGAATGTTCTTTCTCATGAAGCAGCATACTGCTTGTTTCCACTGATGACCTTGGTCCAGAACAGGACCATGCTTATTTGTTTACAATTGCCCATGGATAGATCGGAAAATTTGGCCATTCGAAAGCAGAGCAATCGCGGCCTTGAGGTCATTCACAGACCTTCTGCTCTACATTGTGTGAACATTACATCATCATTCTCATTTCTATCCTCGCGACATATTGGTGATGAGCATTGCTACATTGTGCCCTTTGAGAATACTGCCGACAACACGCGCCAACCGGACTTTCTTGACTATCATAGCTGGTCTATGGCTTATACTAGACGATATAACTTATTCTTGACGGAAATCTTCAAACCAACTGCGCCCACACCCGCTTTCATCATTTCTCCAGACGATAGGGCATTAATCATGGCACGGTTCGCTGTAATTGAAAATCTTGTATCAGATGGTTTACTAGCGTAAGTGTGTGTTTAATTTTGCAATACACTTTCCTCACATCTTTGTTCTTAGTGTTGAGGTTGCAGTGCTCACCATACATCAATTCATAAGTGATTAGAAGAGACAGAGAACAAGGGGCAATAGCAAAGCATTTGCTCACTTTGGCACCATTCGGACTGCACTCAATAGTTTATATGGTCCAATAATCATCCCTGCATATATCATGCAAGAACTCTTTGAATTTGTAATCACCGTGCATGCACACTTTCGCCAAATTTCTATGGCAAGTCTGCATTGATTCCTTTTTGCTCAACGGATCACTAATTGTCCTGTATAGTTAGAGCCCGTTCACAAACCTCGCACAGGCAAATCACCTGCAAAGGTCAACATTGTTTTCAACGTCAGCGGAGCAATGTTGAACTAAAATTAGCATACTCTAAAAGAATGGGCCTTGTCATTCAAACAATATAGTATAGTAAACAATATGCGTTCGTGAACATAACACATATTATCGATATACACAAATCGGGATTTGCTGGATATTTTCTACAAGCAACGGTAGCGGGCTATGCCGCTTGCCGGCGTTACTCAGTTATCTGGTATACCCATTACGCAATTATACACTTTACACCTCACCTTGCTTGCAAGGTCTATTGCACTCCGGAATTTAGATTGTTTTGTGCAGGCACATTTTGGTCATGTTTAGGTCTGTTTATTTTGGTTCAAAATTGCCAAACACCACTAATATCTCTCTCTCATTATTTGTCTCCAGTCTTATACTACTTTATAGCTTCTACTTCACCCCTAGCCACATTATTTTTCCTCTTCTATGTATCATATCTATTGCTCAAATGTATTTTCTCATGTGTTCCTCCTACCAGTCCTCCCAAAATGATTATGTTTATTTCCACTCTCACTTGCATTAGCCACATGGGATTGTGGGCCACTGCACTGTGTGCATGGCATAAACTCAGCTGGTTTTCTAATATAACATTTACATTTGGGCACCCTTCGGGTGCTGACTACTAACATGACAACAAAGATGCACAGTTGCATCAAAGGGTATTGCAGCTAGCTCTGAGATAATTTTGCTACACCAGCAATTATGAGGCTGGAGTTCACAGAAGTGGATGACTTCCCATAAGGATTATTGGACAGTAATTATTTCTAATTATTTCTAATGTCCTAAGCAAACTAGTCCGATCAACAGATTTTGAGCAGAACTTGAGCAGAACTCAAGCAGAACCATCTACAGAAGGGTCCGGACCCCTCCCTAGATGGTTTTGCACTTGCTTACTGGGATAAGCGAACAGCGCATCAACTGTCCGTCTGTTGCATTAGACCAGCTCAAAGATTATTTACTCAGATTATTGGGCAAAGGTTGACGGGAAGTCATCCAGTATCATCCTTATTGTTAGAATAAATTAAACTCAGTTGTTACTGTAGCAACTGAGGTGAGTTGGTGCCACTGACTGTGTGATCTATCTAAACTGTACAGTATCAGGTAATAGCGCTGTCTCACAGTTATATGGTCCCTGAGAGGCTGTCAGTATGTACAGAGTACTTTCCCAACACTTATATATGGCACTCCATGCAAAACCAATTTCCTTTTATGGTGGGAATTACTCCTTATTTGGACAAAAGTAACACTGAGTTGAATTGTATTATTTCTTGTGACTGGCATGGGATATCATGGAACTGTGACTCTGTCACACTTATTTTCTCACTCAGTTACTCCCTGTTACTCCATCAAATAGTTTATGTAGATTTGCTTTTATTTTGCCTTTCTCAAAAGAATTCACTATCAGCACCTGGAAGGCACCAAGAAAGGAGCCAGGTTTTTGCTATGCTCAGTGGTGCATTGTCCTTGTCAAGACCATGCCTCAACACCTTGCTCTAGCACTCGGTACTCCAAGATCTATCATTTATTGTTATCCTTCTTACTTCTTATTGTTCTTTCTCGCTACACATTCCCTTTCTTCCTAGTTTACTTTTTTATTGTCTTATTCTCTACCCTAAAGACACTTAGTGTACAACCCCTAGTAGCTAGTCTAGCTCTCTGCCCCAATACACCGATTAGCTGGTATAAATACTCCTGTACCATACTCTAGTTCTTCAGTTTAATTATCATCTTAGATCAATACTCTCTGTCCTCTGAAGTCTGAAAACTCCCTTGAGCACTCTCAACTTCAATCTTAAGACTTATAGTCCTCTGGTCTGCTCCTCATCATCAGTGTCACTGCTGCTCCTCATCCCTACACTCTTGCTCCAGGGACTAATGGTGAGACAGTGGTGTTGTTAATAACTTCACTACTGTCCCATTCAACCCTCTGTGCTTAGACACTGAATGGCCCTTGGCACGGCTTTTCAGTGTATATGATCTTAATAGGCCTGCAATTGCATGTGGAAGAAAAAATTTAAGAAAAGTAACACTAACAGACGAGTTACACAAGGCACTTTATCACATGCATTAAACCACCTGATGTCACTGTTCAATAAATTGGATTTCACCTTGCTGTGACTATTGACCTATATATGGTGAAATCTCACATAAGCAAGAAATGGCCTCCATTCATATGGACAAGTCTTCCATAAATTACAGCTAAATGCATATATCTAGTCAGAAATATGTATTCTATTTTAAAGTTTTTGACAAGACCGTGCCTACAGGTCAATAACTATAGAGGTTCTGAGGTCGGATATGGGCCAGAAATGGCCCGGGATAACTCCGAGGTCCGGAGTACTGGCCTGTAGTACACACTGGGAGTGGGATGTCGGTGAAGCTATTAGTGTTAAGATCATGTACACCGTGTAACCGTGCTGAAGCCACAAGGTGTCTAAGTGCGGAAGATGAGTGGGACAGTAGTGAAATTATTAACAACACCGCCGTTACACTGTTAGTCCCCGGAGATCGAGAGTAGAGAAGGGAGGAACTGAGGAGCAGCCAAGTCGGAGCGGCGGTATCGCCGGTGACGAGGAGCGAACCAGAGAACGTCTAAGTTCTAAGGTTATAGTAGAGAGTATTCCAAGGCGATGAGCCTGAAGACTTAGAGAAGAGTGAGAGTTGAGAAGGGAGATCTAAGTTGATCTAAGTTGATAATTAAACTGAGGAACTACAGTAGCGTACAGGCAGTATTTATATCTACGGAGCGGCGCATCGGTGCGGAGCGCCAGACTAACTACTAGGAGCTATACGAGTAGTACCTGCAGGGTAAAGTAAAAGACAATAAGAAGGGACTAGAACGAAAGGGTATGTGTAGCGAGAAAGAACAATAAGAGTAAGATTACAATAAAGAGCGGATCTTCGGAGTACCGAGCGGCGGAATGGAGGCCCGAGGCATGGACTTGACAGTATCCCCCTCTTAGGCTTGAGCCCTCAAAAGCCGTTAGTATCGGGCAATACTATTAGTCACCAGAGAAAAAATTTTATATCCCGTTAGCATCGGCAATTATCCTTTTTAGTCATCAGGAAAATTTCGTTGGTTCACCGTAAACCGAGTACAATTCGAAGGAAAATTTTCGCTGGTCCGTGCGCAGTTTTGCCATATAAAAGGCCCAGGGTTTTGCCGCTAAGGCCCTAACTTTTCCAAAAAAACTCTAAGTCCACCAAAATGTCCTCTAGTCATACCACCACCAGAACTTCCACCACCATCGGCTCTATCCCCGTTACAGGTAGACAACCTACTCCGCCGGTAAACCCGGCTCGGCCTTCGACACCGGACCCATCTGACGAGGAGAGGGAGTTGGAACTCCAGCTGGAGCGCACCTGGGAGAAGAACCGGAGACGAAAGGAGGAGAAGAAAAAGGCCGAGGAAGAGGCCAAGCGGAAGGCGGAGGAGGAGAGGGAGAGACAGGAGGCTGCCGCCCGGGTCGCCAATGCGAGGAGGATAGAGGAGGAGGCGGCAGAGAAGAGGAGAAGGATAGCGGCGGCGCGAAATCGTCGGGGGCCTTCACCTGGTGAGGCTTCCACCTCTGTTTGTAGGGTGGAGGTAGAAATTCCCTGGGTGGTGAAAAAAGGAAAGGCTCCTCAAAGGAACGAGGTAAGTTCCTACTCCCTAATGCCAAGTCACTGCTTAATTTTTTGTTACGAAAATGACGACGAGGACAATGAGGAGCGGGCACCCTGCGAGCGGTGTTTCAACAAGGAAATTCCCTGCTTGGAGCAGGTAGGAAAGAGGAGCACTGTGATATGCAAGGCATGTCACGATGCAAAGGTGAAGTGTTCGTATTCAGGCCAACCGGTGCAAGTAAAGCGGGAAGGAGGACCGAGCGGCGAGAGGATGGCGGTCATGGAGAGCCAACTGGCTCAGTTGCTGGCCGATAACCGGGCCTTGAGGGAAGCCACCTCAAGGTCACATCAATACCTAAGGCAACTTGTTCGTCGACAAGATGAAGACCATGCGCGGCTTATTGCCATCGACACCAGAAACGCCATGAGGGAGCCGGCAACACCAGGGCCGTCGTGATCGGTCTCCGACCGGCCGAGAAGCTTGAAGAGGAGGAGGATAGTAGAGAACAGCGAGGGAGAAGAAGAAGAAGAAAGGGAAGGAGAGAAGGTCGTAGAGGAAGAGAAGGATGGAGAAGGGGAAGAGGAGGTAGAGGAAGAAGGGGAGGCGCCGGCGCCGAAGAGGGCGAAGACGGCGGCCTCTAAGAAAGGAAAGGAGAAGGAGGTGGTAGTAGTAGAGTAGCGGATATTGAACTTTGGCCTTCGGCCATCTTCTTGTACTCTTCTTGTAGCCCTGCCTTCGTTGTATAATTTTGTTTTTTGGACTTTTGTATATAAAAAATGTTGACGCAATTTTTGAGATCGGGAAGCGAACGGGCCGCGAGGCGGCGTAAGAAGTAATTAGTTTAGTATAAGTAGTGTAAGTGTAAATGGAAGCTAAGTGAAAATCGTGATTAAAGAAACCATAATAAGCAAATAAGAAAGAGAAGTAAACACTCAATTTACTATCATCGTGTTTACCCTCTAAACACACGAAGTAAACTTTGGCGGAGCACGGCGGAAACGGGGAAAAGGGATAAAATGTTTATGTGTGATCAAGGTCCAGGCTTGTGAGGGTATCGGGCGTGGAATGCTGGTACAAGTTCATCAGCATGTAATTCATCAGCAGCAAC